TTAATCGCATTCTTCAGTGTCGTCAAGCTCGTGAAAACCTGTAATTGTAAATCTGATCTTACAACAAAAATTTACTCTGAGAATAGTTCCTGTTACGATTAAACCAATAGACGATATGTATACGGCACATTCAAATATAGAAGGAGGCGAAAAGTTCGGGTATTGTAGTATGGTTAGATGACACTTTAAGTGCGTAAATGTTTAATCGATGCACGATTTTTTCCATTTCCTTCTCAGAAAAAAATTGATGAAAAAATTGCAATTACGAGCGGAAAGATCGCACGCCTAAAAAAATAGGAGTATGGATTACCGAAAGACCAGCGGAAAAAACATTTTTCTCTTTGTACATTCCTGAAAGTACTCCACCTACTCGCAGAAGTATTAAATGATCAAACTTTCTCTATATGTACAATGTCTAGCACAGCAGGGATATGTTTGGCGTGTCCTTTAATCTAATACGTGTCAAGGATATAAATCACTCGGCGGATTGTCGCCCAATTGAACAATGTTGTTAATCCCACAATTCCTGTCATCATAATAGTCTCCACTTCAAATTTGAACGATGGACAGAGATCACAACATACAATATAATGTAGTTTATAAGTCGAGAAAGATGGTTCTCGCACACAGCACTATCGTGCCATTCGTACGGTAGCGATGGTCTCTTCCGGAGTGGGAAAGGTAACAAATTTTCCCACCAAAAAAGGGAACAATTCACGAAATGTAAAATTATCATGTATTTTGAGGAATGTACAGAGATATCAAGTATGATTGCATGTAAACACGTGTGAAGAGGATTTTTCCAAAATGACTATCTTCCAAAATTATGAAAAACGCAGTCGTTCAAAAGTAGCAAACAGTTTGAAAACTAAAAAAGTTCCATTAAAGCTTGTTGGTTGTCAAAATGCGGGGGAATTAAAATGTGACAGGCGTCTTTGAATGAATATGTGACAGTCGTAAAACTCGTGTAATAACTAATATGGACTTCGATCGCAAAACATCACTAATAGTAAAAAAAGTGCCATTTTACTGACGTCCTTTGCTGAAGTATTTATCTCGAAACTTTAGATCTACGTCCTAAGACGCTAAAACCACGTATATCTCTAAAGTGTTTTATTTTGACAGGCCTAGATCAAATTCTCTAAACCTCTTAACATGATTATAAGAATCTACATATGAGTGTGTATGATCGGACTGTTTTTAAGTTATGCAAGGGGGATTATGCAAGGCCTTGAGCATGGGAACCATTTTTACTACAAAAATAGATCGTGTTGTATATTAAAACGAAAGAATGCATCGAGAAGTTGGTATAGAGGAAGACATCACGCCCATTGGAAATTCGAGTCTCTCGCGTCATTATTATTAAACAATGTAATGCACTTGAACAATTCAAATTACTCTTGTTTTACAATTTCCCCTTTTAAAATAAACAAGTAAAAGTCCGATAAAGCCACCTTAATATCGTGATGGACGCGTGGGTATGGTATTGTTGACATAATAAGAGCGTATTTTACATTCCTCGTTCACACCATTGACAGAGACAAGAGATAAGCGAATACCAAACATACTTAGTTGTTATTAAACTTCGCCACGACAGTACGTTTTCAACTTCTTATTTGTTTTTTTTACGTGCGCGTGATATTTTAATTTCGCTCTCTTGACGACAAATGCGCTACATAACTCGTGGTAATCGAACGATGATTAGAATATTGACATTACGATTGGTTTTATCTTACTTTTAATGCGAAACAGGCAGGGATTTTTCATAACGAAAACTGCAATTTTCCACAAATATTTGCACAAGCCTTCGGGAGACTCGTAATCGCTGATGAAAAGATCAAAGTGTCAGCCATTTAATTCTACGACGCTATTTTAACTAAACAGCAAACATCAAAAAAACGCAATTTGACAAATTCAGACGAGAAATAATGAGCCAACTACCAGGGCCGTCTCTAGGGAGATAGGGGTTGGCGTGTATCCATAAATTTATCTGTGCCCGACTGAGTTCTTATGAAAGAGAATTCGAAAAGAAATCGGTTGGGTACAACGGAATATATGAATAAATATTCCCCCTACCCCTACCCAACTAACGTTCTAGCTACGGCCCTGCCAACTATCAACTCCTTCACCGTTGGAATGAAATATACGAGCACAAGTCAACACACTGTCAACTTTTAATGTCTAGCGTCGCACAGCATTAAAGTGCGATCCGTAAACATTTTCTACTGTTTTCTCTTTTGGGAAAACGATTTCAGTGATCCAAATTTCTGTAAATTTTCACGAATGCGTTACAAATCATAGAAATGTGGTCATAGAAAAAAAGCGTTTGTGGACAGCCCACTATACTAACCACTATTGAAGTCAAATTAATTCTGTGAGATCAAATTTTACAAAATTGGAACGAGGGGGGTGGGGGTGACATCCAGCAGCGTAACCACCCCGCAAATTTAAGTCCTGCCATATAAATTTCAGAACATTACCGTTATAAACTTCAGAACATTACCATTATAAATTTCAGAACATTACCATTATAACTTTCAGAACATTACCATTATAAATTTCAGAACATTACCATTATAAATTTCAGAACATTACCATTATAAATTTCAGAACATTACCATTTATCAGTTTTCGCAATGAGCGAACAAAGAAATATTTAAACATAATGATAGTAGCTGGGGACGCCAATATCAAAATCTATATTTTTTACCGCAGAAAACGTATCCACAGTCAGTGCGTTCTCTTGAACGTTAAATATATATTCCTACAGTACAAAATATCTACGACTAATTTATAAATGTCGATATTTCACGATGAATACATATAAAGTAGAGGTCACACCCTAGAACCCTTCAAACCCCTCCAATCCCTGTTGCCGTGAGCACGATTTGCCGTTTCGACAGCTTTCTAAACAATCATTCTATTTTTAATGAAAGGCTTTTATGAAATCAAAAACATCGAGAACAAGCTCTTAAAAAATTCAATAATTGCGTGAAATAAGAAGTCTTAAGAAAACATCACGGGAGAGCAATGATTTTGACAATGAGCTTTAGTGAAAATCATGAGCACAATTGTCGTTTGAAGTTCGTCACATGGTGCTTTATTTGATCTCTGACAAGAGACTGGGCTCAGGCATGCGTGTTTTCAAAACCATCCAGAGTAATTTCAAATTTGAATGTTTCGAATTTTACAACACTCTACATATACCATCACACTACCGTATGATGTATTTGATCACTGACAAGAGACTGGGCTCTGACATGCGTTACATAATTATCCATAACAAAAGATAGATAAGGTTCTAAATATTACTATATCTATACCTATCTATACTACCGTATGATGTATTTGGCCTCAGACATACCTATCGGGTTGCAAAAGTAGTGAACCGTATGCATTGGTACAGACGGATATACAAAGGTATACAGATATACACATATGTATACGTATATATTCAGTAGCATAAGTCATGCAAAGGGATATATATTTCACGACTAACCTTTTTCGTCGACTTGCTCATCTTGACTTGTGCGTTCTGATTTTTTCTGTAATAAGAATGGAGAAAGAAGTTGAAGTAGTATTTGATAAAGATATAAAAGTTAAACTTTATACCTAAATGATTCTAGCTAAGGAATGTAAACATGGATATATAACAGTAACAGTTGAACTTTCATTAACCATCCACATATACAAATGTGTCCGTACGTATGTGTATTCCGTAACATCCCTTTATACACAGGTGTACTCATAAATCCCCCATGTATACATACGTCCGTGGTTGACGCACATTACACCAGCAGGTGTACTCATAAATCCCCCATGTATACATACGTCCGTGGTAAACTAACGAATTAATTGAATAGTAACTATTCACAATGACAAACAGTTTTGAAATAATAGAATAATTTTCAAGTTATAAACTGGAAAATTATTATTGAGCTGCAGCGCCGACGATAAAAGCGTGTCTACTTTGTACTGCTAACTGAACATAGACGTTTCATCTTTAACCATGATAGCAAATTTGTTATAAAAGCTTGTTGTTATCAGCAGACGTGTCCCTAGTTTACTTCATATTTTCTTATGATGGATGATTAATAAGACATCTCAAACGAATTTAATTGACCAATAGTACGTTAAGAAAGAGACCAATGACCATCCCAGAGAGATCTGCTGTCACTTTCACAATACATAATTTTCATCATAAGAGGAAGTAAGACTTGGCCAAGAGCACAGTAACCGAAAATAATTCCGTAGAGCTTAAAATGATTGAAGTATTTTTACTTTCTATTGATTTGGTCTTTAAGAGCACATTGTACAGCGTTGACATGTCAGAATGAAACGAGTTGCCTACAAGAAAAAGACAACACTACGCCCTGCTGACAAATCAAGCGAAGTTTTAAAAAATCTTTCTTCACACGAAAACAAGTCTTGTCCATGCATCTTTACTTAACAACACAGAGGAAAGGAAAAATCATAAGACAAACAATATGAAAAGAGAACTATGCTGTAAAATATGCTTTACGCCTCATATAATATTAAAATGAAAATAGAAATCGCCTAAAATCTGTGAGATTTCCTAAAGGCACGCTGCTAGCACGTGATACGCCGTGCTTTAGTTTCGTATTTCAAAAAGTAACACCACTATATATAAACATCATGTTTTTATGGTCCATAATGAGAAACAAATGATATTATTCATGCAAAACTTTATACAATATATCTATTTGCCACAAAACACCAGAATATTATTTGACTATTACTTATATTCCACTGCAAAAAAATTTTACTTTTTGATTATGAAAATATGTAAATCCAATAATGCAATATTTTATAGAATGTTTCACAGAAGTAAAGAATAGTTTTAAAGAAATTCCCGATCAAAATACACTCGTGTAGGCAAATTTTAAAGACCTTTCGTGCAATGTCTTCGAAGTGCTCTGCACCGTTTGAGCCAGATGAAATTGGCTTGGTCATATAGTTGACGAAATGAGAAGGAAGAGGAAAGGACAACACGTTAAGAAAACGTGTTGCAAAACATCACGCTCTGTCTTTTTCGTTATGTTTATTAAGAGACAGCAAACTTCCGAGGAAGCAAGATCTCCGTGAACGGAACGAAGACATACAAACACTTACATAACAGTCAACAGCGAACTTCCGAGGAAGAAAGGACTCCGTGAACGGAACGAAGACACACAAACATTTACATAACAGTCAACAGCGAACTTCCGAGGAAGAAAGGACTCCGTGAACGGAACGAAGACACACAAACACTTACATAACAGTCAACAGCGAACTTCCGAGGAAGAAAGGACTCCGTGAACGGAACGAAGACACACAAACACTTACATAACAGTCAACAGCGAACTTCCGAGGAAGAAAGGACTCCGTGAACGGAACGAAGACACACAAACACTTACATAACAGTCAACAGCGAACTTGCGAGGAAGCAAGGACTCCGTGAACGGAACGAAGACACGCAAACACTTACATAACAGTCAACAGCGAACTTCCGAGGAAGAAAGGACTCCGTGAACGGAACGAAGACACGCAAACACTTACATAACAGTCAACAGCGAACTTCCGAGGAAGAAAGGACTCCGTGAACGGAACGAAGACATACAAACACTTACATAACAATCAACAGCGAACTTCCGAGGAAGAAAGGACTCCGTGAACAAAACGAAGACTCACAATAACAGTCAGAGAAAAACCATGAACAGGATTATCATTTCTTGTGTGCTAGCCGTCATTGTTGGCACAGGTATAAAGACTACAGATTTATTATTCAGAGATAGAGCTGTGAAACCTATATAGTGCCAACAATAAGAGGCGTTAATGTAATGTGGATTTTCATTAGAATACCTTTTGGGAGGGGGAAAGATGTTTTTCCATGGAATTTTAATGATAAACCATCATTCCGTAAAATATTCACATTGCTTACGAGGAAAAAGTTAAGAATTTCTTCCTTATTTATTTTCCATTGCAGACATGCGCAAACAAACTCATCAACTGGGGTGGCAACAAGTGAAACGACAATCTTAATAAATTATAGCCCTTCGAGTACCGAAACTGGGGCTACAATAGAAACTCCATCGAAGACTTACTTAACCAACAGGATTAATTCAACTAAACCATCGAGCAGCGCAGAGAAAGCTGTGGCACAAGTCATCACTCCAGCTATCGTGGCTCTACTCGTTCAAAAAGTCATTCAATGATGTATTACAAATATATAAACATTGATGCAAAAGAACATTTTGTTATAGAAATCTAGTTTAATGTAATTCCTTATATAGCCGAGATTAAATAAAATGGTTTTTGTTTGATATTGCCGTCGCCTCCAGAATGCAATGCATATTTTTTATCATAAAAGTAAGAATTTGTAAGACTTTGCTAAGAGCATGGCGAGCAAAAACATTAATTTTTGTAGAGCTGATTAATGAAAGAATAAATTCTGCTTTTTCCTCATTTAGAGAACATTGTACTCACAAATCAAACGAAGTCTTAAAGAAAAGGAACCCAATGCCACAAGAACACTGCTGTGTGAAATATTTGACAAAATGTGCAAAGTCTTCCACCAAATAGAAAATGAAATGAGAATATAGGAACCGCATGAAATTGACATCTCTAACAATTTACTTTCGGATTATTATTGATCCTCTTATAATTTTTATCATTATTCTTCTTTTTATCATTATCCTTGTTCTTATTATTCTCATTCTAATCGTTCTTATTATTCTTATCATTCATCTAAATGTTATTCTTATTGATCTCAATGTTATGATTATTGATCTCATTATTATTGACATTATCTAAAATTTTGCTATCTGATCATCATTATTCTTGGAGCTAAATCGACTATGAATACGACAACATTTCGTGGCATGTTTCACGAAAGCAAAGAGCAGATTTAAAAAAAACAATTATCGGTCAATACATCTCCAATAAACAATCTCACGATCCTTTCGCGCAAATTAAAACTACCATTTTATGTGATGCATTGGCGAGTACATCCAGTCGCTAAGCTTGTCTCTTTGTCGAGCCGGATGCTTGCATGTGATTGGCTAATTCCTAGCTTAGTTCCGGCACTGAATGCTAATTTTGCGATGTTTACGTGCATAAAAAACAAATATGGCAGATTAATAACAGGTGCTAAGGGTAGCAATGTTTCTGCAATTTGTAGAGAGGGAGATAATGGATGACACCGAGCGACAATTCTTTTACAGTTAAGCTTCTAGCCTCGGACGACCGTTTTTCGGAGTTTTTGTAATAAGAAATATCTTAAAATCAGCTACAATAGAATAGCGGAAATATCTTTTTAGAAATATATTATGCAATAATTTGTCATGATAATGAAATATATTACATATTATCTTTTGCAAGCCCAAAATTACAAATTAAGAAGGGGCGGTTTCACTGTCTCCAATTCCGTTTTAGAGCAAAGTAATTCTTTGCACGACAATTCTGCATTCCAGAATCTTTGAGAAAACAAGCAACCGACGCGCGCGCATCAAGTTGCTTTGATCAGAGTCTTAAGCCTTTTGTTTTGAACATAAAAAACTCTGTAAATAAGCTTCGGACGAAAGGCTCTCTCACTTGAGTCCGATGAGTTTGGATCAAATATCTAACCGGGGGTGGGGGGTGGTGGTGGTGGTGGTGGAGGAAGAGCTACCAGGTAAAGAAAACCTGTTCCAATTACCGTTTATATTGGAATTTTGGTCGCCCGAGAAAAGACATAGGTGCTATAATCAGATTAAACTGGCTACTTTATGAAGAAAATTGGAACAGTAAAGACTTTAAACAAGGGCAGCTCTGTACAAGATCTCGCACTTAACTCACGTCAATATGTCCATTAAATTATTCAAATATAACAATGAGTGGAATAAAGTCGGGACGCGTGATAATTGTGTACTTAACAGGTACCTGCCACAACCTTTGCCTAAGTATCTTTCAAGTGCAAATGAGATTCGAACAATGTCAACGTAAATTCAATCCAAATTCAAACATGGTTATCAACACAAGACCTCATTTCACTCTTCATTTCTGCTGAAGAATCGTTTTTTTTGGGTCGATGAAATTAAAAATGGCAAAAAGATATTCGGTAATGGAGTTAGCGAGAAACACTTCGTCAAATATTGATAGAATATGGCGGCGGCTGCGACAAAAGGATGTTTAATATTCATTTAAGAATCAACGACGATTTAACTCAGTTTTCGAAAAATATTCCGCCAATCTTCGCGCATGTCCATCTGTTAAAACCTCGGTGCGTTCTAAATTCTGAGGTTTTTTACGTTGATGGAACACGATGATAAAAGATGTCGAAGTCGAAGTGCAATATCCAACATCTATAAAACATGTTCGCGCAATTACTTTGTAACTGCTATACAAGAAATATAACAATAAAAGTATCCAAAGATCGAAAACTTAATTTGCGTCTTTCTATATAAAAAACAGGAAACTGGAACCGAGCGCAATTTGAATGTGTTGAAACTTAGACGTTTCAAATGCTGAGTCGTAACGAAACTCTACAAAATGAATGAAGACAAAACATCGTAAAATAGCTCAAAAAAAAAACACTCCACGCGGAGCATAGAAAGAAGAATTGTTAACGAAAACGAATCAACGCTAATTTCCCATGAGAAAAACCACCTTCCACGCAAACACGTGCACTTTACATGAAACTAGCTACAAAGCTTTTCTATATGGAAGTAATTGCACATTACATACTACATTTTGTAACGTCAAGTTTTATTTGCATTGAGTCTATTAAGAATCAAAAAAATTATGTCAAAAATATATATATTACATTTACTGCGTTAAAAAATATATATTAGATTTTCCACGCCCTATATATGTTTTATAATATAGAGTATTACCTGAAAATTTTCATCGCTAGGATTCTCAATCTTTACTTGAAAAACATCCTCTTCCTTTTTAATGGACGTCATGGTTGAAAGTGCGAAGATACCGACGATAGGTAAGGTATCTTTTGCAGCTCAAACGAGCGCATCTTTCGATATTTATAGGGAATGGGAACAAGTCAAAGCAATACCTAATTTATTCGCCTCCCTTTCACACTCCCCCCGTAATTCAAATGAATTAATCACAAACTAAGACATACCGGTATCATGGCAGGGGTGCAATTAACGAAGCGAAAAGCGAGATCAACCTCATGACAATCTACCGGGGAAAAAAAATGAGCAACTACTTTTCCCAAAGAAGTGCGTCGTTTCTTTTGTCGCATCTTTTATCGCCATCACTGCACGTACAGGTGAAAGGATGACAATTTTGAGTAATTACAGTCATCATCCACCTGTCCTGCACGTTGAGTTAGTCAGCTAATATAACAAAGCTCATTAGGAGTTTATACAAAAGCTGTCTTGCAGAGTTGCAGTAATTGCACTCATTAACACGTAACGCTCCCCGACCAGCGAATTAAATACAATGATATACATCGCGTCCAATCTCACATGTAATTATATAAAGTAGAATTTTCCGAGCGAAATTCTAATCTCTTTTAAGCCTGATCCTCACTTGCAACATAGGCATTAAGCATAAACATAAGCATAAGAGTCCTCGCTTGCAATAAAGTGCTAGCTATAAGCATAAACATAAGCATAAGAGTCCTCGCTTGCAATAAAGTGCTAGCTATAAGCATAAACATAAGCATAAGAGTCCTCACTTGCAATAAAGTACTAGCTATAAGCACAAACATAAGCATAAGAGTCCTCGCTTGCAATAAAGTGCTAGCTATAAGCATAAACATAAGCATAAGAGTATTCACTTGCAATAAAGTGCTAGCTATAAGCATAAACATAAGCATAAGAGTCTTCACTTGCAATAAAGTGCTAGCTATAAGCATAAACATAAGCATAAGAGTCCTCACTTGCAATAAAGTGCTAGCTATAAGCATAAACATAAGCATAAGAGTCCTCCCTTGCAATAAAGTGCTAGCTATAAGCATAAACATAAGCATAAGAGTCCTCACTTGCAATAAAGTGCTAGCTATAAGCACAAGCATAAGCATGAGAAGTACGTAGAGTTAAAATAATCTTGTGTCTATGTTTATGTCTGAAGTGAAAATCTTATTCATAACCATAAACGCGTTCATTTCTTCACAAACAATACAGTTTTGCGAGGATTCAACCTGGTGTAGATACAAGTAGACCCGACACATGCAAATGGCAAAGAGATCATCTGAATTAATCAAATCATTGAATCATGACAGCAAACTTATTTGAAAGTTTCATTAATTGTAGTTTCACAAGGCATGTCGATAACTGTGTGTGCATGCGTGCAAAGGCTAAAAGTCCCTAGTCTTGTGATAGATCTTTGATCCAGTCTTATTTTGAGATCAGTGACGAGATTTTGTTAGAGGTCAGACATGCATAGTGGATTACATGCCTTGAGACATCGTAAAATATAAAACAATTCAAACGAACCACATCTCAGCAATGCAGCATGCTGTGTCACAGCGAATGTATAATGTTCCTCGCGTTGACATTCATTCTTTCCTCTCGTTTCAAATTGCTACACAAACAACAAACGTGGGAGATTTTTTCTCTGATTGAGCATAATGATGTCGGGTTGAACGCAAACCTAAAGCAACAAGTTCAAAGTTTGTCATATACATATCGGAAGTTGAAGGGAAAACAAGAACAGATCAACATAGAGTTTCCTTGGATAAGAACATTATTCTCTGAAAGCACAAAAAGAAACGTCTCGATTTGATTGAATGCCATAGGTCCAGATTCACTCAACCTTTTTAAAAGTAAGAATAAAAAATGGATAGAGACGAGTTAAATGGTAAAGAGAGAGAAGAGGACGAGCAACAGCCATGGCAAGTACATCATGATAAAAGACACTGGAGTTGATGCGGATTCAGTTTCAACTCGTCACCAGACTTTCTCAAGTTTATCGATCGCATAAAAGCAACTCCCCCCCGGCAAGCGCCATTCTGTGAATCACTGCTGTGAATGAATACCGAGTTTGATGACAAAGCATTATTTGACAGCACACGAGTTCAATTGAGCGATTGTTCGAAGAAAATCAAAAGGTCACCTATTTCATTAACACCATCAAATGCATGCAACAGTTTCATTAACAGCCTCGAGAAATACAAGGAAGACTGTTGCATGATAAAATAAAATTTCGTCTCGAACATTCCTTCTTTTCCCTTCGCTCATCAAATATCAAACAATATCTTTCACTTCCTGTCATCTCATCTTGTGACATTTCACATTCCTTTTGCAATCCTTAAAAGCGAGAGAGTACCAGTGTTGAAAACAATGATGAGATCAACTGCACTCGTCGTCATTATAAGTTGAACGTAAAATACAAAAAACTTCATTATAACAAATGGCAACGAAGTTGATGGTGGTCATGAGACCGATGTGTGCCGATACCGTGATTCACCTTTGGACTAGAAAGTAATTTGAAACCTTCATAAAGTATGTATTTTATGATGCGACGCCTCGTGTACGACGCTCATATTTCACATATGCATGACATCTGGCCTTATCACATAATCTTCGTGGAATTCGAACGTCGAAAACGAGTTCTTGTCGCCTACAAAAGAACCTTAGAGCTTCTAAACTCGAGGTAAGTTATAAAGGAATTAAAGAGCATGAAAGATTTTTTCCGCCATATTCTTTATTGAGGACACGGTATTTGTTGACAACACCCAGTGTGAACGTATAATTTTGTTAATTCAAATCACATGAGCGAGGACACTTTCCGCATAAGCAAAATGCGTGTTGCTCATATCATGTTCCTTCTTCTTCCTCATGTTTAAGTGACGGTGAACCTGCGTGGAAGCAAGATCTACGTGAAGAGAACGAAGATGAATACGTTAATCATAAGTTTCGTGGTAGCGGTTCTTGTCGGCACAGCCACGGCAGGTAAATACAAGCAAAGTTATTGATTACTTTGGGATAGAGTTGTGAAATGTTGTGTCGACATTACTAGAGCATTTTTTCAAGAGCATGAGAAACGACAAACAACCAGAGCCGTTCGTATATTAAAGGTCGATATTATCCAGGGAAATTATACAAAGAAATTTAGGATAATCCACAGCGCAAGCCGATTCTATCCCTTATTTGTTGGCCAGTAACTTTCGTTCGGCCAGAAACACATTGTACACAAGATTATTGAACTGAGAATGTGCGAAAATTACATTGTCAAGGACTTCGAATAACAACTCAGTACAAACAAGATCAGTCTAAATCAGACGTTCCCTTGCACACCAGCTAGCAGGGGGGGTTGTCTTTGGAAGTTTATGTACATATAGACCATATCATTCGTGACTAAATTTACATTGTTTATAACGATATGTTACGATTTTCTATCTTGCTTTCCTCTCATTGCAGGAAATAAATCAAGTATAGTACAGTATAGTTACTCAACTGATTCAGCAACATCTGTACCACGTATAGTACCCACAAAAACCCAAACAGTTTCTACAAAAAGTACAAAAATGTCGATCCCAGATGTAAACCCAAGCTCAACTTCTTCAAACTCATCGTCAACATCATCTACTGTGAGCTCTGAGGCCCCTAACACACCATCAGCAGAACCTAAACCAACGAGCAGCGCAGAGAAAGCTGTGGCACAAGTCATCTTTCCAGCTATCGTGGCTCTACTCGTTCAAAAAGTCATTCAATGATGTATTACAAATATATAAACATTGATAGAAAAGAACATTTTGTTATAGAAATCTAGTTTAATGTAATTCCTTATATAGCCGAGATTAAATAGAAGAAAAAAATAGTTCTTCATTGATAAACGATAGTGAATAACTTTTTATAAATGCAGCAAGTCGAAGTAATTTAATAATGTGAGGGTGTGATGTACTAGTTAATAAAACATGATGTTAATTTCAAAACTCCATTTCGACTTCAAACATTTTTACATGTCATAAATCTAATTTCGTAAGAGCACAATGGTTATAAGGCATTTAAAATAAACGACAAATTTTTTTAAAGCAAACATGTTTCGGCATACTTTATGCTATCTTTATGCCATCTGTATTTATTCAGTTCGCACTGAAGATGGCCTAAAGTATGCCGAAACATGTTTGCTTTAAAGAAATTTGTCGTTTATTTTAAATGTCTCATAAATCTAACTTATATTTTCCAATCAAAAATCTCGGATGGTCTCACACGAGAATGTAGTTTATAACGTAATTGCATTACACGGAAGGAAAGCGGTCATAAGCCTTCTACAGTCGAGGGTTGTGTCATATGCCTCGTGCGTAGCAAAACACCTGGTTTTTATAACTGGATGAAAATTTATCCGGTCCCAAAATAACAACTCGAAAATAATATAGTTTACAATGCATTTAACGTCGCTCTGCTTGCATGCTGATGATTCCAACGAACGTAATCCCACTCCCCCCCGACCCAAAAATAGCCGCTCCTTGTGGCCTACGGTATAGTTTACAACAAATTTAACGTCGCTCTGCTTGCATGCTGATTGTTCAAATGAACGCATTGTTTTGTCTCGGTGTTCAAAAATAAAACCTGAATACTTGAAGTTGCAGAGATATTGTGTTCAAAAGAAGCAAAGGCTAACATTTGCAAATAATTGGCAACAATTTTGTGGTTCGAGAAGTGTCAAGATTGTTTGCTATAAACGAAGTTTTCTCGATGTTTTACAATGCGGTACTTTATACTAAAGAGAATGTTATGGTTAAAATTGGAAATTTGAAGAGCGTGTTTGTATCATGCTTCCTCGATGAAATAACATTTCTTAAAAATAAATCGCCATTTTAGAATGCGCACGTTTTGGCACCATACAGCCATAGTTAAGGTTTCAATCTATATTGTTCGACGATTAATGCACGTGACAAGCTCGCACAAAACAGCAAACATCATTTTCCTACTTACTCCTAAGCTCATCAACCTTCGAGAAATAAATGGTGTTATTTCAACAAACAGTAAGAAGTTTATCTCAGGGTATATTGCCATGTGTCGTGCATTCTTTGACTGGTAGAACGCACTTGATACGCAAATGAAAAACATGTGAGTCGAAAGAGATTTGAACTTTTACCTTAAGATATTGATTAGCCTCTTTACCTGTTGAGCTACGCCAACTGGGATTGAGACGAGGATTTATTTTTATGTTTCAAGTGAACGAGACATTCCTGACTCGTATAGTAAAGTTAATGGTCAATGCAAAAGGTGTTTCACTTAATTTCAAAGTTATTTAATTGTACCAGGAATCAGCATGATTATGGCATTGAATTGAAAAGAGCACATGCCCTTTTGATCATTGCTGGTCCTTTAAGTTTCCTCATTGAGAAATAGGAGGGGCTCACGTTATAACTGAGTTCGCGGGAGAGAAGACACCCAAGTCTAGAGGAGAAAAGACACGGCAAAAAAGAGAGAAATTAAATACAAGTCAACGAAGAACAGACACACAAGTCAAAGTATATTTGTTAATTATTTGCATGTTTTCGATTTATTCTCAATAAGAAAGTTTTCATCGACGTTTTCCGACAAACAAACTAGGTTCTCAGGGATTTTCTGAAAATCTTTCAATTATATTGTTCACGGTTCATCTGTATTTCCCTACATGGAGGGGTCTGGTGACGAGAGTCGAGAGCATCTGTTTTTAAACCTTTTGTCCCCAGCGTTTCCGTACGGTAAAATCAATCACTAAAACCATCCAGAACTCAAAGGACAAAAAAACTTGGGAAGTAAAGCGTTATTATAACATAACACGGTATCATGCTGCTATCAGCGAGTTTTTTTTTAATAACCTTTTGACTTCCACAACATCGATGAAGCCATCCAGAACTCAAAGGACGAAAAAACATGGGAAGTAAAGGGTTAAACGAAATCCTCCTTGTCCCTTTAATACATGTTTGACTGCACTCGATCTCCTTATACTTATGTCATAGTGAGGATGGTACATAAGAAATCAATGTACTTGATCTCCTTATACTTATGTCATAGTGAGGATGGTACATAAGAAATTTAATGTACTGTATCTCCTTATACTTATGTCATAGTGAGGATGGTACATAAAAATTTAATGTACTGTATCTCCTTATACTTATGTCATAGTGAGGATGGTACATAAGAAATTTAATGTACTGTATCTCCTTATACTTATGTCATAGTGAGGATGGTACATAAGAAATTTAATGTACTGTATCTCCTTATACTTATGTCATAGTGAGGATGGTACATAAAATTTAATGTACTGTATCTCCTTATACTTATGTCATAGTGAGGATGGTACATAAGAAATTTAATGTACTGTATCTCCTTATACTTATGTCATAGTGAGGATGGTACATAAAAATTTAATGTACTGTATCTCCTTATACTTATGTCATAGTGAGGATGGTACATAAGAAATTTAATGTACTGTATCTCCTTATACTTATGTCATAGTGAGGATGGTACATAAGAAATTTAATGTACTGTATCTCCTTATACTTATGTCATAGTGAGGATGGTACATAAAAAATTTAATGTACTGTATCTCCTTATACTTATGTCATAGTGAGGATGGTACATAAGAAATTTAATGTACTGTATCTCCTTATACTTATGTCATAGTGAGAATGGTACATAAGAAATTTAATGTACTGTATCTCCTTATACTTATGTCATAGTGAGAATGGTACATAAGAAATTTAATGTACTGTATCTCCTTATACTTATGTCATAGTGAGAATGGTACATAAGAAATTTAATGTACTGTATCTCCTTATACTTATGATAGTTGATAAATGAAATTTGTCATTTGATTTTCATATTCTAACACGAGTTGTCGCTCTGTCGTATGAAAATATGATCGTGACGAAGTTCCCAAGAAAAGAATTTTGAAAGAAAAATGTCACATGCTAAAAAGTGAAGAAAAAAAAACAACACAAGGAGAACAGAGTGAATTTGTTCAAACAACAGAGTTCTTGCCGTGAGCTAATGCACACGAACGCTGAAATAAACTTAATATCGTTTGTCTTCCACGAGTAAATCCATGTAGCTATGGAAGTGGGAACCTCACTTCCACAGATAGAACATTTTCCCCCGCAAAACTGAGAGCGTTGTAAGCAACAAGCACAGATTATTAATTTTGTGTACATCTATGCGTAGGTTGGCGGTAACTTGAGACGCTCATTGCCATGACTTCCACAAAAAATGCATGTGACACAGTCATAGAATCAAGATAAGACATATTCTTCTAGAAGCCTGTCTGTACATTTCAAAGCACAGCAACACCGTCCATTTAGCACGGCAAATCTTGTCGGCATTTCAACGTAAAAAGGTAAGCTGTATTGTCACAGATAACGGTGATCAAAGCGTTAAAATTTAATCCCACAGGAAACTCGATCGTGTCAGTAACATAGTTATGTCGTTATTTGCACAGGAGTTGTCTTTGATTGTTTTCTCACTAGCTGAACTCATGAGGCATGTTTGTTTTGCCATTAATACCTCGTCGTCCGTTAATAATCCCACATTTCGCATGCCATCTTCCATTTTACTAGTTGCTTTTCGTAAAGGCAGAGAATTCACATTCCGAGACGCGCGGTCACTTCACTCGGAATCGGTTAAAGTTGTCTGACGGAGCTCAAAATGCGTGTTGTCACCGGGATACAGTGCTTCTACGTTGTTATTTTCATCATACAATCGAAAGGTTTGTATTGATTGGTTATTACTAAAGCTTGACATTTCTCTGCCAAAATAACAATGAACAGGAGGCTTTAAGTCTGCTAGGTATGAGCAACTTCTACTTTCTTTATTGGCAATTGAATGCAGGCTTGCAGCGCGTTTTGTCTAAGGCTATTCCCCCTCCACAGCTTTCTAAACAATAGTATATACTTAAATTCACCCGGTCTGTGAAACGTATACAAAATCCTGGAATTCTTCAGGCGCTTTTACGATAAGCAGCCAATCGGGTTCTGCGCGATTGATCTTAAATATCAACCTTTCAACTCCTTCTGTCTGGTAACAAGAGCTTTCTTGCAGGGGAAACGCAGACATCTTTCCACGGCAATGAAAGCTCGATCATTTCATATTAGTTAATGCAGTTACATACATTCACCATTAGCATGTCTGGATCCGATGAATCATGTCTTCATAACCATCCACTCACCATAAGGCGGCATCATAAAATAGAAAACGATGCTGTTCGCCACGTGGTAATCATATGTAACACACGATAAGATTTGGAGGGTGCAAGCGCTAACAGTTTGAAAACATTAAATAAATACTTTCTTTCAGTTACTTTATGATACTTTTATGAAATGTTCCATTATTTTCCTAAATTTGATTACATTACAGCAAAATCAAGCAGTCTAACACCAACTTCCACTCCGAAAATATTATCAACAACCATCAGTGCAAAAAGTAGGTCACCATCATCATCACCAAGCCTAACACAATCAAGTCCAACAACTGGCGCAATAAATGCAACCAGAGAGAATAACGGTTTGTCCTCGTGGTGGACAAGAAGTACAATAAAGCCCAGCTCCGCCACACAACCAAACACAGCTAGTTCCAGTCTCCAAGATTCATCAAGCTCTGTATATTCAAAATCAACTACAAATATCATGACTAGTATACCAAGCGCCTCCTTGGCACTGACATCAACTACAAGCATCAATGAATACAGCTCCACCACACAGCCAAACACAGCTAGTTCCAGTCTTCAAGATTCATCAAGCTCTGTATATTCAAAATCAACTACAAATATCATGACTAGTATACCAAGCGCCTCCTTGGCACTGAAATCAGCTACAAGCATCAATGAATACAGCCCCACCACACAGCCAAACACAGATAGTTCCGGTCTCCAAGATTCATCAAGCTCCGTACATTCAAAATCAAGTACAAATATCATGGCTATTATACCAAGCGCCTCCTTGGCACTGACATCAGCCACAAGCGTCAATGAATACAGCCCCACCACACAGCCAAACACAGATAGTTCCAGTCTCCACGATTCATCAAGCTCCGTACATTCAAAATCAAGTACAAATATCATGGCTATTATACCAAGCGCCTCCTTGGCACTGACATCAGCTACAAGCGTCAATGAATACAGCCCCACCACACAGCCAAACACAGATAGTTCCGGTCTCCAAGATTCATCAAGCTCTGTATATTCAAAATCAACTACAAATATCATGGCTATTATACCAAGCGCCTCCTTGGCACTGACATCAGCTACAAGCGTCAAGGAGTACAGCTCCACCACACAGCCAAACACAGCTAGTTCCAGTCTCCAAGATTCATCAAGCTCCGTAGATTCAAAATCAAGTACAAATATCATGGCTATTATACCAAGCGCCTCCTTGGCACTGACATCAGCGACAAGCGTCAATGAATACAGCTCCACCACACAGCCAAACACAGCTAGTTCCAGTCTCCAAGATTCATCAAGCTCTGTATATTCAAAATCAACTACAAATATCATGGCTATTATACCAAGCGCCTCCTTGGCACTGACATCAGCTACAAGCATCAATGAATACAGCTCCACCACACAGCCAAACACAGCTAGTTCCAGTCTCCAAGATTCATCAAGCTCTGTATATTCAAAATCAACTACAAATATCATGGCTATTATACCAAGCGCCTCCTTGGCACTGACATCAGCTACAAGCGTCAAGGAGTACAGCTCCACCACACAGCCAAACACAGCTAGTTCCAGTCTCCAAGATTCATCAAGCTCTGTATATTCAACATCAGCTATAAGTAATAGGACAAGTATACCAGACGTCCCTTTTGCATCGATACTAGGTACAACTACCTATGAATACCATTCCAGCATAAAACCAATTAGAACTAGTTCCAGTCTCCAAGCTTCATCAAGTCTAGTGTATTCAACATCAACTAGAAGTATCATAACAATACCAAACGTCACTTTGGTACCTAAATCAGCTACAACCACGTACTATTCCAGCTCTACCATACAGCAAAATACAACTAGTACCACTGCAGAATTCAGAACCACCCAAAAACCTACCAAACCACTTAAGATCATTTACATTATATTTCAACTATCAATGACGATCATAAACATTGAAGTGCATAAAAATGACGAGTGTGGTCATGATGCTGCAGAAAAAGTCAGTGAACTGCTTAGTACATGCAACAGCTTGAAAATAGAGGATTGGTCTCATTTGTTTTACGAATATCTGCTATGTAAAATGTGCAGTGTCGATGGAATTAACAAAGACACCTGCTCAATGGAAATTATCGACTTGAGGTGTGGTAGTGTTATTACTACAATTAACATGATAGTGAGAGTTAATAATACAGAAAGTTCACTAGACGACGTTAACAATATATTTAAACGAATAAAGCAGGAAGGCAAAATAAAAGAACTGCTAATCAACTCTACATCGTTTAACTTTACTAATCAAGGAGAAGTAGAACGAACATCATCCCCAACACCAACTTTAAGCCCAGACATTACAATTGTGGAAGTGAAAATAAATTATAACTGGCCAGAGTTCTGCCGCATCAGGGATATATTCAAATCCGAAATCGCAGCTTCTTGTGAGCCAGAAGGAGAGAAACTTAATCGAAGTGATATTTACATTTTGGGCGAAAAAAGAAAGTGCTCGCGGCGACCCGATGACGTTGAAAAATCGATCGTGGTGCAATTCTACGTACTGAAGAATAATGCCAATAAAAAAACATTAGAAGTTTACGACTGTTTGAAAAACAAGTTTGAGCAGGGAAAACTTGATCTCGGCAACTTTTTCAACGACAAGGTATGTCTTGCTTCTTTATCGCTGCTGTAGAATGATCGATGAAATTATTGGGAATTTTTTTGTATCGGATAATGAATATTCATTTCAAGCCAAATGAAATCCATGCAACCCTCACAATACAGCAAAAATGCCTCGAACTGCAGAAAACGCAGAGTAATTTTTGGCATAAGATAAAAGCTACTCCAAAAAACATTGTTTTGTAAACTCAAGACTCGAGTTGCATTGAATAGAGGCAAGATTTTACAAAGTACGGAGGAGTTGAGAATACAGCTATAACTCGACTCTTGAATTTACAAGATTCAAAATCAATACAATTGGAGTATGTTTTATCTCATATTTCATAAAATTATCGGCTGGAAAAGATGTTTAAGCATAAATTGCAGAAAAACCTCACATGCAACTCGAAAGCATAACTAGGTATAGCACAACTCGCGTTTTAAATATATTTACATATATACATAAGATAAAAGCTACTCCAAAAAACATTGTTTTGTAAACTCAAGACTCGAGTTGTATTGAATAGATTTAACCAAATAGTTTTTATGATTTTATAACTGTAGTCTTTATGATTTTCTTCAATATCACTATATATATTTACGCTCTGCTCTCATTTCTTTCATCTAAAGATAGTGAGCATTGGATTAAAAGATGAACATGTGCCTACTCCCAAACCTACGCCTGTGGCTCGTACTCTGTCAGACGGGGAAAAAGTATGGCTTGCAGTTGGCCTCACATTGGCTATCCTTCTGTTGCTGCTGGTGTTGTATTTGGTAAAAATGACTGATGTCAGAAATTGCTGGATCTTATTTAAACTCGTCTCCACGCAATTTCTTTATTTTCCCTTTTTTCTTTACAAGTGTTGTTGCAGACGTAAGACGAACGAAGACAAAGACGCTGAACGAGGCTCGGACCATTTCGTCTTGGACAACATTGATGGGACAAAAAAGGAGTCGGTAGTCCTTGTGAACGATGGATTCGACAGTCAAGAAGACAACGATCCTCCAGTAGGTCAACTGTTGTAGCATTTGAGAGCAAATATGAACAGAATCAATTACAAAAAACATAATGTCCTAACAATTGGTAGCAGGGACAAACTAGAACGGTAATTGGGGGTGGGTGGGGTGGGGTGGGGTGGGGTGGGATGGAGATGGGGTGAATATTCATGTATATTCAGCTATACTCTGCTAATTTCTTTTGAAATTCAAATCGCTTTCAAAAAAAGATCAGTCGAGCAAAGCTGAATATATGAATATTTACCTCCCCCACCACCAATTGCCAGCTCATGTTTTTCCTCCTGCAGAGAAAATGTTTCAGCAAATTCATTATTCATGTCTTTAGAAAATAAAATTGTTTTGTTGTTTTTCCTCAAAAAACATTTCATATAAAAACTGACAATCAGGGTGACTTCATCGTTGATCCTATCCTGGGAAGAGCAGCCGGAAAAAAAACCCACACAATCTTTAGCAGAGTATAGACACAGTGATGCTTCTTTCGTAAATGATGATGTAAAATCCGCTCTGAGAAATGAAAGCTGATTGGTCGATTTGTAAATAACGCGTTTAAAAGCATTTTGATTTTTCGGCCGAAACTGTTGATCAATGCATTTCAAGCAAACGTGTATTTTTCTTTCTAAATGCTTCCCACAGCCATTTTGACACACAATTGTTGAGCAACCAAGACAAGTTTACTTATTCATTTCTCGCAGCAGAACAGTCTTTCAACATTTAAAGGCAAAGAACCTGATAAACCACTAAATGGTGATATTGAAGAGAAAAAAGCACCTCTTGGCGATGGAGAGGAAACTGATGACGAACTAGGTAGTGTAATGGCGACTTAAACATAAATGGATGAAATATATAGGCCTGTATAAATATTTACAGGAATGACCGTACCTGATGTTGCAATAGAAGAACCCGAGAAATCTAAATCAACGCCAACAAAGGCGCCTCCGCACATGGCAACAACAGATCTTGCGCAAGAAAAGCGAGAATTTGAGGTTCAATTTTCTACCTTAGCTGAATACAAGACTTGCGAAACCAACAGAGCAACGCCTGATATAGAATACCGCAGAATAATATACTAACTAAATTATTTGTTCTTCATCTCTGGCATTGTTAGGACTTGAACCAAACAAAAGCAGACCCTGCAGCTTATCCAATCAAGGACTCGGATAAGAATAGAGTTCCAAGCATTGTACCAAGTGAGTGATTTTACTGACTAAGGGCTGATTACATGAGCCCGTTAGCCGGGATTCAGCCAAGCGTCAAATGATTTTGGCAAATGGAAACAGCTCAATACTTATCATCAGATAAATTTTCTCAAGCAATTTCACAATATTCTGATTTAATAACTACGCAAAACATTCGAAATTAAAACAATCCTTTTGGCCTAATTTGAAAATTTCAACAGGAATGACTTGTAGTCCTTCGCAAACAGTTGTAATTTTTAACCTTGAAGTTTTGGCTTCTTTCAATCCCTTGAAATCGTTGGGCTAGCTCGCTATCCGGGCCTCACTAAAAAATATTCTGTATCACATGCCATAATAAAGTAAATGGTTTGAACCCGGGAGTATCGTTACATGTTTGTAAATGTAGATCGTCCAGGTTGGTATAGTCCTGAGAAGGACTGTTTTTGTTGTTGACTGACGTTTCGACAACCTTACGACTTAGATGACTACCGCTAAGGTTGTGGAAACGTCAGTCAACAACAACAAAAACAGTCCTTCTCAGTACTCTTGTAACCTGGACGATCTACATTTACAAACATGTAACATGCCATAATGTTTACATTATAGATCCTGATACGAGAGTGACGTTGAAAGGTGAAAATGACTACATAAACGCAAATTTCATAAAGGTAGCAAAACCATGTTGTTATACAGAATCGAATAATTTAGAATTAGGATATTCCAAATAGTTTTATATATTAGAATAACTTTAAAGAAAAAATCACATACGGGAATGAATCCGGTCTCAAAAGAAGTAAGATATAGATTTATCAAAGTTAGACCACTTCTGTATGAGAAGACTTTTTACATAACAACGTTCATCAATCAAAGTAAGATATAGATTTATCAAAGTTAGACCACTTCTGTATGAGAGGACTTTGTACATAACAACGTTCATCAATCAAAGTAAGATATAGATTTATCAAAGTTAGACCACTTCTGTATGAGAAGACTTTTTACATAACAACGTTCATCAATCAAAGTAAGATATAGATTTATCAAAGTTAGACCACTTCTGTATGAGAAGACTTTTTACATAACAACGTTCATCAATCAAAGTAAGATATAAATTTATCAAAGTTAGACCACTTCTGTATGAGAAGACTTTTTACATAACAACGTTCATCAATCAAAGTAAGATATAGATTTTCAAAGTTAGACCACTTCTGTATAAGAGGACTTTGTACATAACAACGTTCATCAATCAAAGTAAGATATAAATTTATCAAAGTTAGACCACTTCTGTATGAGAGGACTTTTTACATAACAACGTTCATCAATCAAAGTAAGATATAGATTTATCAAAGTTAGACCACTTCTGTATGAGAAGACTTTTTACATAACAACGTTCATCAATCAAAGTAAGATATAGATTTATCAAAGTTTGACCACTTCTGTATGAGAAGACTTTTTACTTAACAACGTTCATCAAGCAGGTCACATTTTTATGAAATTTATGGCTGATTTCCATAAACAGCACAGATACCTTTAAAAGAGACAACTCATGACAAGATACCTTTAGATGCAAACACTTTCAATGGAGTAGTCTAAATTGACAGCATGTTTTACATGAGGTTTTCAACGAAAAAAAAAAGCAATTTCTGAATGTTTTGAAGTTAATATTAGCTAACCTTTTCTCGGCTCCCGAATACCGGAATGGCTAAAATACCAATTTCCTCACACAATGCAAATATTTCGGTTTTATGTCAATGCAAAAAACCAAATATTACTTAGGAAATTACATGGCAGTTCAAAAGTAATAAAGAGTTCAACATTCCTTCGAGTTGGATATAGAAAACCTTCCTGAAAATGACGTGTGACGTCACTTACTTTGTTACATAAATCATGTAATATATTTTTTCGAATAAGCAGGTGATTCATTTAAGTGCTCCACTTTGAACCTTCTTCACAAACCGCATTTAAGGGAAACTAGCCTTACGGGTTACCACACGCGCGTACCAGAAGCTTTTCCAACTGTGATTAGCAATTGGGAATATTTTGCGGATCCATGTTACTTTGTTCTGTATATCTTTATCATATGTTATCAACCCTTCTTCCCTGCAGGACCACCAAGGCAATAAAGCCTTCATCGCTACACAACATCCATTATCCAACACAATGAGAGATTTCTGGTCAATGGTTTGGCAACATGATGTTGAAGTCATTGTTATGGTGAATAACGACGAAAAAAATACGGTAAGCGGTGAAAATACGGCCTCAAAAGCTATATTATTTTCCTAAATTTCTTGACGGCGTACGATCGTAGGCGGACTATCACAACTATTGGATGAACCAGAAGAACTCGTTGGCCATACATGGGCATATGCAGGTCAAGACTGAGGAAATGCAGAAAATGGATGCATTCAACATTACTACATTTACCTTGAAAAATAGCCAGGTATATTCAATATCGTTTTAAGATCCTATAATGTACTCAAACGTCTTGCTCGTGCCGGTGAACTCTTTTATCCCATCGAATTACGAACTGAACAATACACATGAGAACGGACTTTCCTGAAAGACATTAATTTAGATTGAATGAAGTTGAAGATTCCTCATTTTCGGCCATGCAAATCTCTATATATAAATGGAGGCTATATTCTGACTAGGAAAACGCCGTGACGAAGACTGTACAACATTTCCGCTTCACAAACTGGCCAAACCAAGATGTCCCGGATGTAAAAGAGTTCATTCATTTCATGAAGATGGCTGAAAAAGCAACATCGAAAAACGTCAAATCGCCTGTCGTCGTCCATTGCTCGTAAGTAGTGAGAGAATATGAGAAGGGCAGGCTGGAAAAGGCCTGGGCAATAAGCGTGACGCAAGAGACAGCTAATGAAAAAGACATGTGCTCTGAACCTTGAGTTTGTCAACAAGTTTTTGTTTGTAGTAGTTGAACAGGGACTGAAAGAGTAAATTAGGGAATAAATTTGAAAAGTAAGGCACTAAGGGGGGGGGGGGAGAGAGTTAAAAAGCGATGTTATTTTCTTTCTATCATATGGAAAAGACTAGAAAAGTGACTTTTTATTTACGAAAGGGGGAGGGGGTTAGTTTTTAGCCGTGTCTTTCATTATCATCTTCAAATTTCCACTGCTATGATTCGTGATGATTTGCATCACGCATTTTCCAGGGATGGTCAGGGATATACAGGTGTATTTATCGCAGTCGCTATTGGATCCCGAGTGTATGAGGAAAGTGGAAAGAAGTCAATTGTAGATGTATTTGACTGCGTGAACAAGATGAGAAGCGACAGAAACCAAATTGTTTCGAGCAAGGAGCTCTTCGCATACATCTACAAGGTCTGCTTGTCAAATAAATACTTTATGAAATTCTTCGTCTTTTTTTATCCTTTGTTCTATAACATTCAATTTTTCTCCGTGGTAGGTCTTCGAGGATTTAACCAACAGCAGTAATATTGTAAGTGAAATATTTTCAGCTGCGTGTATTGACCGTTGACTCGTGACCAATTCGTAGGCAACCGCACCAACCCTTTGTCCACTTACTTATTTACCACTTACTTATTTAATAGTCGGATTCAAGACTTTGAAGACAAGATGGAGAGAGAAGCAACGAAGAATTTTAAAGGATAAAACGATTTGCATGAATTGGTTTCCAAACCAAAAACTAAAATAATTTAGGCATAGTATACGAACTTTCTTAGGAGTTAGCACAAAGATCTCACCAGTACAATAATTAACTTCTTATATTTGATCTTAATAATAGGAATGCATGACGCTTCAATATTGTAACATAAGCAAATACCGAAGCTTGATATATATATATATATATATATATGATTTTCGTAGCGAATTACACACATATAAAACATACTTATTGGGGTGTGAAATAGAAGTGAACATTTCATAGCTAAGTGAAGAATTTTGTCATTAAATAGCTAATGCATGTATTCGCTGTAATTTTTAAGTAGTATATGATTAAATTTGTTTGCCCATATTATGCTATAATATGTTTCCACAATAGTTGATTATGACACGTGCCACAGACAAATGATGTATGCATGTTGCTAACTTGTTTAATGGCTGACATTTGTTAAAGTGTGTCATTTAACATTTAAAGTGTGTCATTTAAAGTGTGTCAAGTTATTTAAAAGTGTGTCATTTAAAGTGTGTCATTTAAAAGTGTGTCATTTAAGAGTGTGTCATTTAAAAGTGTGTCATTTAAAAGTGTGTCATTTAAAAGTGTGTCATTTAAAAGTGTGTCATTTAAAAGTGTGTCATTTCAAATTGTGTCATTTCAAAGTGTGTCATTTCAAAGTGTGTCATTTCAAAGTGTGTCATGTGAAGGAAGGATTCGGAAAGATGATTCTTAGTGCCGTTTTAAAGTCTAATGCAATTTTCTTTTGGCAGAGTACTTTTTTAACCATGCTAATATTTAACTCTTAAGAGTTCGTGGTTTATACACCATTCGGTTTTCTTTAACGTGCCGTGTGAAAAATATGTTTTTAGCTCATATAGTTGATTCCTGCATTTCCTTCTATGTATGTACAATTACAAAAAAAAACGTTCTCACTGTATTTCAATCGTTTGCTCTGAGTTTTCTGGCTGTTGTTCTTTTAATAAACTTTATGAATACTATCAGAAAGGTAAAAGTAACAATAAAGGAATATGGGGGATTATAGAGGATAGCAAGTAATAAAACGAGTGCATGTAACAGAAGGATCATTGATATGTAGGAGATAATAGAGGATTACTGGGAGCAATTTAGGACTACAGGTAATTGTTTTATACTAGCTATGTGTTTAATATTGCACTTACGTCATCGATTTTCTACCATATAATTCCCAGACACAAAATGAATGGTAACAAGACTCTCATGAAGCGTTAACTCGAGCTAATCGAGAACAGTATTTTGTTATATTTGTGTATGATAATAGTTGTAAAATAACACAAAGAAATTCATGGCAATGTAATCTAACATGTGGCAATATATTATGAAAGTAAATCATACTACATTATACGCATGAAACGATACAAGAAAGATTTTGATTGGCTCACGGACTTCGTGTCAGTCACGTGTGATTTGTGTTATCTCGCGAGAATACAGGAAAATCCGAATTTTTAACTTAGGCTTACCTTGAAGACCTCTTGCTTTGTGCACGTTTTGTTGGCAGCAGATTTGGTCTAGTACTTTTAGACAACGCTAGCAACAATGATAAACCTCTTTTTGGATTAATCGACCTACCAGCAAAACGTAAACAAAACACGTGCGCTGATTGGTCTATAACTGAGTTTGCATCAGCGTGTGCAAAGCTCAACCAATCAAATTAATCATTAAGAATTTGCAAAACATTTCATGAATAAATATTAGAGAAAAAACTTAAAACATTTGTTTTAAATTTATCTGTTTCGCATTATTGTTATCTTGTAAATGAAATAAAAGATGCATTACGTGTTCCCAAAGGCTCTGAGACGTTTGTGAAAACTGTACTGATCCACTCTCGAGTTCTCTCAAACGTTGTACCTTAGCCTGTGTCAACACAATAAAAGTCTTCTATTTCTTACATAACAAACAACGATCACGAGAGAAAGAGCGCGCAAGCAGAGCAACACAATGACGCAGCCAGCTTTCAACTTCAGGTTGGTGCTACGTGAATTTCATATAAATAATGCTAATTAGCATTATTTATATATTTATAAATCTATTGTGTTTACAGTGAGTGAATACCGAAACATTCACATAACATGAACATATTAACAGGCTTGGTAGCTAGCGTTATTTATATATTTATAAATCTATTGTGTTTACAGTGAGTGAATACCGAAACATTCACACAGCATGAACATATTAACAGGCTTGGTAGCCACAATAGCAAGCAACATCATACATTAACCAGGCAAAATGAAAAAGTATAACATACCTTTCATAAATCCTCCATTGAGATCTGCCTCTCTCCCTCTTGTAGAAATATTTGATAAGCTTTATTAAGAAGAAAAATACCCATTTTCCTTTTCTTTTGTACATCAAGATTTGCACATAGTCCGTAATACTCTCCTCTCTTTTGATTGGTTAACTGGCTAAGCCCTAGAGAACACAATGAAATACTCAGCAGGCGGACGTTAATAAGATGACGTTTTTATGAAAAGAAAAGCACCAACCCAATGCATCAACCATGCATGCTTCACGTGTGAAAGATTCCACTGGTATAGCACTTTGAAACATATGAAGAGAGATAACACCAAGTCCATCGTTCCAGATGTCCCATATTTGCTCAAGTTTTTTGTTCGCCTGAAATTTAAAGTGGATGTATAATATCTCTTGCTTACAGTGTACTCACCACACCCAAAGTGTACACAGAATACCTTCTATTTAGTATGCCGTCTTTTATTGAAAATCATGTACATGGTATAGTAATACATCCACGGTGAGTTTCATTCCTATACGCTTCGAGGTCAAATCTAGCTACAACAGTTTGCATAACACTCATTTTGTCAGAGGGCATTAATGTCGACAATATGAACGCTTTTTTGCTTTTGTAATTTATCGCTGTTTGGAATCACTTATTGAAATGTTCGCTGATAACAAAAGCGTCTTTCAAGTTGAACGTTGGCCTGAGCAACACCCACAATATGTAAAGAAATGAGAACTAGAGAATGGTGAAAATACCTTGGACTTGGTGTACTTGAGAGCTTCATGTAGATGAGCATATGGCCTTGAGCGTTTTCCTTTCCCCACATAAAATATCGACAAGATGAAACATCGGAAAGCCTCGACTGTTGAAAGTTTCTTGCTACGCAAAGGAAGGTCGAGCGTGACACGTGGATCGAGGAGCAGATAGTTAAACGACGATTTTTCATTACTGGTGAAAGATAATTAAATAATTACTATTCTTGGTTCCATATATTTGATAGACCCTCCCTTCCATTATAAAGAAACAACTCCTTAATAGACCCTCCCCTCCATCGTAAAGAAACAACTCCTTAATAGACCCTCCCCTCCATTATAAAGAAACAACTCCTTAATAGACCCTCCACTCCATCGTAAAGAAACAGCTCCTTAATAGACCCTCCCCTCCATCGTAAGAAACAACTCCTTAATAGACCCTCCCCTCCATCGTAAAGAAACAACTTTTAGATAGACCCTCCCCTCCATCGTAAATCCATCGTAAAACAAAACAACCCCTACACTTACCCTCCCCTCCATTGAGTTTTTTTGGTAGGCATGCTAAACTCATTGACCATATCTTGCTCTTGCTGAATGCAATTTGGAATTTCACATCTTCCTTCCATCACCATCCTTGTTTGAAAAGGATAAGAAATACACGGAGATGTGACCTAAGCGAAAAAATATTTCATTTGTTATACTTTGAACAAAGATAAAAAAAAACCTTTTCAATCTATTTCCCACCTTCTTATCGCGTTTACCGATGCCTTGATCAAGTTTCCACAGTTTCTTTACGTACAATAATCTTGTGTGTTGAGTGATAGGCCCGGAAACATGACCGTGCTCTTTGATCCGTCTCCGTAATTCCATACACGAAATTGTTTTGTACGTGTTAGGAATTATAGCCATTGTTTCGTTTCTTTGATCGATTGTCGTCTCCTTCCATTGATAGGAGATCGTTTCGTCCGTATAATTTCCTTCGTTTGCAGACTTCTCGATCATGCTATTGGTGTTTGTCCCTTCCGAAGATTCTCCACGTGGCGTTTTAAATGGGTTCGAAGGCCACGTGGGAGCAAGTTTTGAGCCATGATCCTGTTCTTTTTCTTCTTTATTATTTGGGATGAAAAGTTGAACACTTCTTTTTGTCGTAGGACTTGGGAAAACGGCACTATCTAATTCTTGATGTGGAATTTTTTCTTCACCCACATCATATGTTTTATTGGGACTCTCCATATGGCCGACTAAACTAACCTCTGTCAATAGATCACTTGGACATTCCCAATTGTTCTCCTCAATCTTGAGTGATTTTATCAAAGTGATAACAGAATCAAGGCTCTCCGTCTGCGACTTGCAAGGCATCCTTTGATCTTCCTTTTCCTCAATAGCAGTTTCATAAAGAAACGTATCTTCATCCTCTACCAAATCTTCCTCCGTGTAATTTAATACCTCTGTGTAATTTAATGAATCCAATATGGAAGGATTGGCTCCATGGTGCAGTAAAACCTCTACCTGTCTTTCCTTTCCCCACATACCAGCTATATGTAGTGGAGTAAGTTCATCATTTGTTCTACTGTGAATTGACGCACCATTTTTAATGAGACATTTTAAAATGTCGACGTTGTCTAGTCCTGCAGCAATATGAAGGCAGGTGATACCATCTTCATCGGCATCATTAAAATCTATTTCTTCATGCCTTTCTTCAATAAAACTTTCTAAAAAACTAAGGACAAAACGGTTTTACTGAATGAAATAAGGTTTATCAAACTTTTAACATTTTAAACTACTTTTGAGCCATTACTATCGGGAGTATTTCAGTGTGCGATATTCTTTAGAAATTTCAAATCAACAACATTGTTATAAAAGTCTTTTAAATTTAAGACAAGCTTCCATAATTTTTTTGACTAGGAAAATAGCTGGGACATTTATTAGGAAGGGGTGGGTGGGTGCATATTCATATATTCAGATGTTCCTGTTAAAAATACAGTTGTACTTGACTAATTTCTTCTGAAAATGAATTCGCTTTCAAAAGAAATCAGTTAAGCCCAACTAAATATATGAACACCCCCCACCCCCTCCAATCAACATTTGAGTCACGGCCCTGATTCCAACCTTCCCTACATGCCCCAAAGATTTATATTACATAATACACCCCTTGCATGGAGTTTGTACAGCAAGCTGAGGTTTTTTGACATATGTAATGGAGTGTGTTGTTGTAATAGAGTTGTAAAAGAGTTTGCACTGCAGGTTAAGATTTTTTCAACAGATTATCAGTGCATTAATATAGCAGGAATTGTGAAAATGTACACAACTCGTACTTGTTTGGAAATAGTTAAAAAATATCATTTGCTTTGAAGGCATCTGATATCTCTTACTAATAAATAATTTTCTATAATTTCGTAAAAGCACTATTGCCAATACACATTTAATAAAAACAACAACTTTTTTGAAAATAGACATGTTTCGACATCTCATGATGCCATCTTCAGTATGAATGAAATAATAGGTGATACAGGGTTTATATAAAAGTAATATGATACATAAATTAGAACAATAAAAAGGAAATACGATAATATAATGAGGAGCGTCCGAGCGTATTATAAACTAAATATTGTATTGAATTTAAAAACTTGAACATTGAGGTCAGGGTTAGTTTTGTTAACGGTCATGTCGAAACATGTCTATTTTCAAAAAAGTTGTCGTTTATATTAAATAATTTTCTTCTATTATGTTAACGTTATGTCTGTTTTACATATTTTAAATGATAGCTTTAGCATTTATGCTTCGATTTCTCATTGAAATAATGGCGTTTGCTAGCAGTTCTCCTTATAGTATCGATGAATACAAGATAAAATATTGAATTTACAACATGTATAAATTTATTGCCACATGACCACAAACGCGAACTTACGATAAATCTTCGCTCTTTACAGCTTCCAACAGCATAGAGTAGCAGCTCATTGCGACAAATTTAAAAATTATTGTTTAAAATAGATAAAAACTTTGAAAAACAGCGTAAAATTCAATAAAATCGAAGAAAATCTATAAAAATTTCATTACATGTGGAGTATAAAGATTTCATTTTCCCAGCTAAATAAAGTGCGCATGCGTGCCTTTTGATGAGTTTTATTTTACGAGCCAAGGAATTTTCTATCGCCACTTTTGCCACCAAAAATTAAATATATCTCCAACTTTTTAGATATGTTTGTTCACATTTTAGAAATGAAATATTTGCATTCTCCTACATCATGCATAAGCATCAAATGGGCAAGTTTTTGTGCTTTGAGAATTTGAGATTTCAGATTTAGTCTTATGAGCGAGGTTTCATCTTCCTACCGGCGAAAGAACACCATGTAAACATCAACATTTGAGGAGAGCAATAGGTGTTTGTTTGGCTTGCCATTTATATCAATTGAAATTCACGTTAATATCGCTAAAAAATTGATATAAAGTGAACTATCTACTCATTCGTGAGTTTTACTACGCTTTCAAAATGTAGGTTTTTGCGTAAAGCATGTCTCATGTTGAGAAAAACGACAGACGGCGGCCAAATGGCCTCGAAAGTAACGGACATAAAGCTCGTGCCGAGAGATACCGTAGTAGCAACAAGAAAAATCTTTCTCCAAAGGTAACGTGGACATTTTACGTGACTTTAGTTTCAGTTTGTTGATACATTTTACTTGTAGTTTGATGGTAAAGGACTTCATTAAGATGTACCCCCCTGATAAAAAAATGCCATGATATTTTTCAGAAATAGAAAAGCATATAGGCATAGTATGAAAGTGCTTCATTGTATATGGCACTTTGTCTTCAATCATGACGATGCTATCTTGATGTTTTAGACCAGCCATAAGGGACTAGACAGAAGCAATAATCAAGATCATATACGACGCTTGGTCGAGAAGGAAGGAAGGGTAGCAAGGAATCTTGTCACCTTTTCAGTTCCCGTGAGTGATCAGAGGAACGGTAAAAAAAGTTTGCATAAAAGAAAATATCACCATATTATATCAGTTTTTTGACATATTATACAGTCTAAAGGCAGGCATTAACTTCTCCCAGATTAAGTGGTTTGTCAACTTGCTGTGTATTAAAGTAAATGGTTTGAACCCGGGAGTATCCTTACATGTTGGTATAGTCCTGAGAAGGACTGTTTTTGTTGTTGTTGACTAACGTTTCGACAACCTTAGTGGTAGTCATCTTCAGAGTCAAATGAGGAGTAAACGTCAGGTTAGCTGTATTTGTCATCTGGTTCTTACGTCATTGTATTGTGTGTACAGGAAATGTGTATTGTCATTGTGAATTAGTGTGAAGTGTAATGTTTTTAGTTGATCGTTTGTTTGTATTGTGAATAAGTCGTTTGTAAGGTGCTGGTAATTACTGTGATCTGTTCAGGGGTGCCGGTAATTGCTGTGTATTGTAATCTTGTAATCAAAGCTTTATACTGCAAAAAACATTTTCTTTTTCAACAAAATACATTCCTTGATATTTACAGTTCTTCTGAAAAACATTTTCAATGTTGTTTGTTGTATTTCATTAGATTGCAATAAATTCCTATCTATAAATGTTCATGGGTCAATCAGAAAATTGCCATGAGCACTAATGACTTGTTTTTTATATTATTATTTTTGATAGAATGTTGTCCTTTATTGTGCTTTTTATAATTTTTGAGTAGTATTAACAATAAACCCTTCGTGTTTGAGTAAGTAACAACCAGATATTGAGACCCTCCCCTATTTCATGCCTTTTACCAATATTTTACACAGTTTTCTCAGGGGGGGACTGCCTGAATGGGGCACAAAATCACATCCTGAATAATCTGTAGAAAAATGTCATATTTCCAACGATAAATGTCGATGTAATGCGATGTAATATGTTTTCTCAAGAGTATGTTGCCCATATAATGTTATAGCAGTAGCATAGCAAGCCTTGAATGCTATTTAAAATTTTGGTGTTAACTCACTGTACAAACAGAAGATTTCTATTGTTAGTGAATTTACATAGCACGACCAAACACGTTGGCTTGCCACGCCACTAGATACAGGAGTTATATGAAGTATTCGATTTCCGTGATAAGAACAAACCTATTTTATCACTTGAACCACTCATCAACACGTTTGACAGTTACTGAACGGAAGAATGTATACAGAAAATACTGTTTACCTTGTGTGTATTTTTGCAGGAAACAGTCTTGAAATGGCGTAGCATGTTTTTTATGCAGGAGCAACGATTGATTCGATGAATTTACCCTTAAATCATGCTGAATACAGTTCGTATAACTGAAAAGCGTTGACTTGCATACGCAACTAAAAAACCACGTCTTTATAAATAGTTTATGAAATGAAGACTCGACCGCTTTTTGAATATGTAAAACGTCCGGTCTTACATTTAAAATTATTGCATCGTTCTTCAAACAAAAGCAATGTACGAAACGTTTGCTTTCACCGAAATGCTTCAATTTTAAAGTGAGCATTCAATTTTTCAATAAATCGGTCTGAATGGTGATGTTCGCAGTTTAAGACGTAGTTTTTATGGAAACTACCGTTACACTTATTGATCAAGGTAAAATTAGACATTCATTGTTTGTTGATGTTAGCTCGTTCTATAATTTCTCCGAAAGTTTTTAGTGTCTTTGTCACGCGAACTGATGTTTACGAATTTTTACTTAAGTCTGTCATGTTCATCAACAGTGGGAAGATTTTGAACTTTGGATGATGAAACTTGAGTCATTATAAACTCTAGTCTAGTGTCTTAATCATGAGTGATCTGATGTTGAAACTTAAGTCATTATATTCTTCAGTCTAGTTTCTTCATCAGGAGTGAGCTGATGTTGAGAATTTAGCTCTTGTATACTCCAGTGTAGTGTTTTCATCAGGAGTGATCTGATGTTCTTATATACTCCAGTCTTGTGTCGTCTTCATCAGGAGTAATGTGATGTTGAACATGATTCTTTATGTACTCCAGTCTAGTGTCTTCATATGCGATTTTCATCAACATTACAGTGAAAGACCGTTTTTGTTGTTGTTGACTGACGTTTCGACAACCTTAGCGGTAGTCATTTTTTGATTCTGAAGATGACTACCGCTAAGGTTGTCGAAACGTCAGTCAACAACAACAAAAACAGTCCTTCTCAAGACTATACCAACCTGGACGATCTACATTTACAAACATGTAACGATACTCCCGGGCTCTAACCATTTAATTTATTACAGTGAAAAGCGATCAAAGCATTCAGACCTCTAGAACCGATGGAGAGAACAGAGAAAAAGAAAAATCAAATGTGGAGAAACGTGAAATTTCCCCCAGCAAATCAAAGACACGAAGTCGGTCGAATTCAGCCAACAGAAAGAAGATCGATTTACGAGCGAGATATTGGTCGTATTTGTTTGATAATTTAAAGAGAGCTGTTGACGAGATATACACGACATGTGAATCTGACGAAAGCGTGATGGAATGTCAGGCAAGATCAATGCTTTTTTTAATCATCAATGCTTGATATACGTCGTAATCCTCTCCCGAGGATTGATTTTCATAGTTTATCTAGGTCGTAATCCTCTCCCGGGGATTGATTTTCATAGTTGATATACGTCGTAATCCTCTCCCGGGGATTGATCTGCATAGTTGATCTACGTCGTAATCCTCTCCCGGGGATTGATTTTCATAGTTGATCTACGTCGTAATCCTCTCCCGGGGATTGATTTTCATAGTTGATATACGTCGTATTCCTCTCCCGGGGATTGATCTGCATAGTTGATCTACGTCGTAATCCTCTCCCGGGGATTGATCTTCATAGTTGATCTACACCGCAACTCTTTCCGTGGGATTGATTTTCGCTGTTGATCCTTGTACATCGCAATCCTTTCCTGTGAATTGATCTTTATACTTAATCTTCATCGCGATCCTTTCTTGCGGATTGATATTCATACTTGATTTACATTGTAATCCTTTCCGGGGCTTGATCTTCATATTCTTGATCTATATTGCAATCCTTTTTTGCGAATTGATCTTCACACTTAATCTTCATCGCAATCCTTTCTTGCAGATTGATGTTCATACTTGATCTAACTTGCAATCTTTCTTGCTGATTGATCTTCATACTTGATCTACATTTTAATCTATCCCTGAGGATTGATTTTGTTGTCCATGCAAGAGTTATCTTCACATGCGACTTCTTAAACAATGAATTTTCTTGTGTTTAGGAGGTAATCATGATGCTTGACCAATGTAGGAATGATTTTCAGTCACTCATTGATCGAATTCACCTACACGCAGCTTTCGAGAAGGCTGACAGCAAAGACAGGTATGGTTTTGTTCAATTGTTTTTAACTAAAAATGTTTTAGACGGACAATATTGTATACCATATTATAAGCTTGTCTTTTTCTTCATTTTTGAATACACAGCACTAATCCCATGCTGTCCCGGCATTAGCTGCTCATTTCTTTATTGTCGCATCTAATGTTAGTCAGGGATGGATTGAAGCGAAAAGGACGGAGATTGTTTTTCGCTCTTGAAAGAAGTATATTCGTGTGCAAGATTCAAAATTTTCACCTGCCTTTTATAGACCTCAGTCTCTGGCGTGGGCAGTTCGCAAGCTCTCCCCAGGGAAATATCCAATCTCAAGCCCTCCTCCTGTTTTCTCTTCGAGAAAACGAAGACCACTAATGAAGACACTGGAGTTGGAAGAAACGAGCGTGGATGGCGTAATGTCTTGGGCTGATAGAGTAAAGGGTCGTACTTCTGTTTCAGATAGATCTACGGTACTAGTTTTCTGAAACATACTACATCATCATATACATACACATATGCCAATGGCATTAGTTTCCATTACTGAACATAATCAAAAAATTTGGTTTACTTTTTAGCCAAAAACGATGAAAAAGAACGAAGAGAACCTGGTACGAGATAAGATTGTACAAAATGGCTTCGTCGCCATACAGGACGGGATTCTTAAAGTTGAGGAAGATGATGGTGGATGGGAGACTGTACGCTACAGTAAGAAAACGAAAGCTACCGAAAAGTGTAGTGGTGCACGTGATCGCAGTCCAGAGTCATATGCGCACAGTGTTGAGCCAAGGGTACTTCGTGTTGTTACGGATAACGGCGATCTTTCTCCAACAGCGAAACATGTTTCTGAAGTGGAATCTTTTAATGAATGTAACAATGAAACAATTGCTGATGTCCGTGAAGCAAAAATAAGAATTTCCAATTCAACATGCGCTGACGCAAACACAAAGGACTCGTTTATATGTAAGGACAAAGAATTTGATAAAGACGAGATGTCAGTTGTCTCAACTGAAATGTTATTAGAGTCCAGTATTAAGGAGCAAGCTACTCCTCCGGTCACTTTGAATGTTGCTGATGTAAATAGCTCAGTGGAAAAGGGGAAAAGTGACAAAAACGAAAAGCTGAAAGGGTTTTTAAGTCCACTCAACGTCGACTCCGATGTTGATACGGACGAAGACGGTTTGACGGCGTCTGATGTCGAGCATCAAGCAGCTCTTTCGGCCGCCATTGAAGAAGAAGCCGATCTTTCCAAGCAGTATGAGACAGAACGTGATGAGTTTCTTGCCTCCGCGAAAGAACACGAAGAGAAACTTGCCATAGAGTTGGCAGATCAAGAGGCCTACGTAAACGCTATGAATAATGTTGCCGACGGTGATGATGAAGCTGGAGAGGTACAAGATGATAATAAAGAAGAGAAAAGTGAAAATGATAAGGTGATTTTACTTCTGTACGTGGTATATGGCGTGGTTTTTATGAATGCGGAAGTTTATGTCAGTTTCAGTCAAATTTCTTTCTTTTGAGAGATATGTTGGCAAAACTTGAGTATTTCTATACTTCAGTGTTGTGTCTTCATCATAAGTAATCTGATGTTGAACCCGAGTTCTCAAATACTCCAGTTTAATGCCTTAATCAGGATTTATCGAATGTTGTTGTTCGAGTCAACATATTCGTCATTTCAGTGTCTTCAGACTTTTGCTGGTCTCTTTATCATGTCGACCACATTGGTCTTCATTTTCATCTTCATTGACAAAAATATTTCTTTGATATCTTCTAGCAGAATCCTCGAGGATCAGTGACAAGGGAGTTGACTTGGGAAGAGATGATAGCGGAATATGACGGTAGAGTTTGCTTCGACGTTGCACTATTTTTTTGGCGGGAAACTATAAGACATAATGATATAATGACGTAATGAAGTAATGACGTAATGAAGTAATGACGTAATGAAGTAATGACGTAATGGTGTAATGAAATATGACATAATGATGTAATAACATAATGACGTAATGGCATAAGCAAAAATGACGTAATTATAGAAAAAAACAAGCGTGAAGGCTCGCCAAGCTGGGGGGATATTGTTGAAATGTCGGAGAGCCGGCCACCAGGACGAGCTGTTCAAATTCATCAAAGATTATCGTCACCTTCACGAAAGAGGTATGTTTACATCACAGAATTTTTTCGACGTTTGACTTTCCTAAATTTATCCTTTACCTTAGAGATGTAAACGTTGGAGTGCAAAAGCAAGCCGAAAAACAGGTAATGGACGATCATTGTTTAACAGGAAATAATCTTTGTGAATTTTATCGTTTGTCTTGCGATGATTTTTCTCCTGCAGGCAAAAGCTCAACAACTGCGAAAACAGTTACTCGACGATAAACTGCAACATCTTCAAAACCTTTCTGAGAAAGTTGGTTGACATCTTTTTTTTTCTGGAACTGTTAGCTATTTTTTAAACCCCACAATCCTATGCATGCTTTGTCTCAATACATGACTGGTCCATTTGTCCTCTCTTCCGGCTAATTTCATTCTTTGCAATCTGCGCGAAGAAATTTTCTTTTATAAAGAAATGCGTTCAATTCAATTTCGGTGCCAACATAGGAAATCATAATTTTTGTTTGACTTACTTTTTGCCGTTGAATTTAAATATTTGGCATCGCATAACTGAACTGCCTGTTCAAATACTTTCCCACATCTATTTTATCAATAAGTCCAACTTAGAAAGAACAATCCCTGATGACAGTTTTTCATGGACTTTGCCATTGTCTCACTGCCTTTAAACTTCCACAAATTTCACTCAAGACCATGTTTACCTGCACGAGTGGGAGAATTTTGATGACAGTTTTTCATGGACTTTGCCATTGTCTCACTGCCTTTGAACTTCACAAATTTCACTCAAAACCATGATTACCTGTATGAGTGGGAGAATTTTGATGACACTTTTTCATGGACTTTGCCATTGTCTCATTGCCTTTGAACTTCACAAATTTTACTCAAAACCATGATTACCTGTATGAGTGGGAGAATTTTGATGATACTTTTTCTTGGACTTTGCCATTGTCTCATTGCCTTTGAACTTCACAAATTTCACTCAAAACCATGATTACCTGTATGAGTGGGAGAATTTTGATGACAGTTTTTCATGGACTTTGCCATTGTCTCACTGCCTTTGAACTTCCACAAATTTCACTCAAAACCATGATTACCTGCTAGAGTGGGAGAATTTTGATGACAGTTTTTCATGGACTTTGCCATTGTCTCATTGCCTTTGAACTTCCACAAATTTCACTCAAAACCATGATTACCTGCTAGAGTGGGAGAATTTTGATGACAGTTTTTCATGGACTTTGCCATTGTCTCATTGCCTTTGAACTTCACAAATTTCACTCAAAACCATGATTACCTGCTAGAGTGGGAGAATTTTGCTCATTTTTGTTTTACATTTCTACTCTTCTCTATTCATGTAAAGTTTGCTCTTTCTCGTTTTTAATGATCTTACATGAAGTGTTTACAACACGTTCATTCAGGTGGAAAAGGCTCGTGAACTGAAGATGATGTTGATTGGCGAACAAGAGCTTCATCAAAAAGAGAAACAACGAAAAGTTGAAGAGAAACGCAACATAAAACTAAAAGAAATAGTTCGCAAAGCACAGGAAGAAGACGCGAAGGTGAACATTGTTATGTATTCTTTAATAAGCCGTCTTTGAACCTGAATACTGTTCTTTCAAGACTTAACTACACAAAATGAGTTATCCTGGCTAGTCGAGTTAAAAGCTCAACATCATAAAAGTGTAATGTGTTGAAAGCTTTGATCTCGTGTGCTTTAAAACAAGCCTGCTGACAAAACTTGCTTCATGTAGTCAGACTAATACTTTTGATTATTGTTACATGAAGTATAGGTGGTCGTAATTAGAATCGTAAGGAATGTGAAAGGGAAACGGTCTTTTACGTAAAGAGCATTATAGCTATTGTCAATTTTATTGACACGGTTAGTTTTTGGTTTTTCCTCGTTTTTAGGTGAATGAAATTGCTTTCATCAATTCACTGGAAGCGCAGAACAAGAAAATAGAAGTTTTGTCTCGATACCAGGTGTGGGAGTCAGATATTTTATTTTTCATTGCTTGCGTGTTACAAAAGATCGCGCTTGTTTTTAAATGATCACTTGGCTTGATAATGAATTTGATATGAAGTCGAAATATTGCTTATAAATCTGATCTCTTGTTGATATGTCTCGAACCTTGAGTTTACAAGAATCTTGAGTTTATATTTCTTTAAATTGTCGAATGGAAAAAGTCTTTCGTCATACCACGTGACTGAAATAGATTTTCAAAAATGATTTTCAGCTATTTTGATTTCACAAACATGTTATAAAGTAAATGGTTTAACCCGGGAGTATCGTTACATGTTTGTAGATGTAGATCGTCCAGGTTGGTATAGTCCTGAGAAGAACTGTTTTTGTTGTTGTTGACTGACGTTTCGACAACCTTAATGTTTTTAGTTGATCTAGTGTAATGTTTTTACTCCTCATTTGACTCTGAAGATGACTACTGCTAAGGTTGTCGAAACGTCAGTCAACAACAACAAAAACAGTCTTTCTCAGGACTATACCAACCTGGACGATCTACATTTACAAACATGTAACAAACATGTTATGTTATATCGTTACGTAGGTGATGCGTTTGATTTTTTAAATCTTTTTCTCAATGTTGGAAAAAGTATGGGAACTTGGGAACATAGTTCCCAGAAATCTTATAGAGTTGAGAGTTTGGTAGAAAATTTTCCAGGAACCAATACAACACTTTTAAATCGGTTTATTAAACGTCATAATTAATATTCGTCTTAATTCATATTTTTGTTATTTTGTTGATTTCAACAAACAAATCTCACAGAAAATTTTCAACATTTGCCTGTGGTTCCAAGAAAGAAAGAAACTTTTTCTACCTCTGCAGTTTTTCTATCCCGTTCTTCTAGGATCACGAAGCTCGTTTACAAGATCTTCAAGAAGAGCGACAACGAAAACGCGATGAGCAGCAGGCTAAAGAGGCTGCAGCATACGTAAGGATAATAGAGGATCTAATAAGAAGAATAGAGGATCTAATAAGGATAATAGAGGATGTAATAAGGATAATATAGGATCTAATAAGGATAATGGAGGATCTAATAAGGATAAGAGTAGTCATTGTAGATGGTGTAGTAAGGATATGGATGGTAAATGATTTAATATTTATAGCAATAGACGGTAACAATGGATTGAAATAGGTAAGTGTAGTGATGGATGTTAACAAAGATAGGACAATACTACTGGATGTTCTTATAAGATGAGAGTAAGGTGTATGATCGTGAATTATATGGTAACACCGAAGGATAGTAAAGGATAGTAAAGAGTTAAGTGAGGATAAAGACAGCTTAGTGATGTTGATAAAGCAATTTGTATAAAATTGCTATATTATATGTATCTTGATATTATCAGGAAAAAAACTATGATAACCAAGTTTATTTGGATTTTTTACTCGATAATGACTTTATATGTTTGAACTTGGGAAAAGCAGCTACATTTTGTTGATATATTCTACAGGAGCGTCGAAAACAACTCGAGGCGGAGAGAAAGGCGAGGCTTGAAGAAATGAAACAGAGACGACAAGAACAGGTTCCTGATATAACATTCTACTTCGCTCTCCGGCTCGCTGTTTTTTGAACGAACATATTTATGTAAGTCCTTCTTTCCATCGCCCAGGAAGCGAAATTCCTTCGAGAGAAGCAAGAAAAGGAAAAAGCAAGAGAAGAAGCAGCCAAAGAAAGAGCGAGAGAACGAGAGCAAAGACTTGCTGCACGTAATGAAGCCTTACAAACAGCCGTGGAACAACTTCAATTGAAGATAAAACAAAAGGTACAAAGAGTGGCAAGTGGTTCACCCCCTCCCCACCCCTGGAATGTTTCTTAAAAGGGTCTCTCGCAGTCTCAATATCTCTACCTCTCTCCTTCAATATTTCTCAAAGTTTTGAAAATTTATCCAGCATGCTTATGATTTGCCCGACGGTATAGGAAGATCAGTGGTAAAATTACTGTTCATCTCTTTAGAAAATTAATTACATTCATGATTTTTCGTGTTCAACAGTTGAATACAAAAATATATGCATTTTTGGAGTAAAAAACGGGCTGGCTTCGCTACTGAGGGTACATGAAAGTTGTTTTTGTCAGTCGTTTTTAAACTTCTAGTCATGTCATACGTGTAAATAAGTCCAAATAGTCAGTTTGTTCGTATTTTTACTGTACGTCCATATTGGTCTGAAGATGTCATGTGTTATAAGACGAATTGCCACGTTTAATGAAAGTCATCTTCATACTGTAAGATCGTCCTTAAAACACGTAATATTTAACAAGACGAATTGCCACGTTTAATGAAAGTCATCTTCATACTGTAAGATCGTCCTTAAAACACGTGATATTTAACAAGACGAATTGCCACGTTTAATGAAAGTCATCTTCATACTGTAAGATCGTCCTTAAAACACGTGATATTTAACAAGACGAATTGCCACGTTTAATGAAAGTCATCTTCATACTGTAAGATCGTCCTTAAAACACATGATATTTAACAAGACGAATTGCCACGTTTAATGAAAGTCATCTTCATACTGTAAGATCGTCCTTAAAACACGTGATGTTTAACAAGACGAATTGCCACGTTTAATGAAAGTCACATTCATACTGTAAGATCGTCCTTAAAACACATGATATTTAACATCTACGTTTGTAGTGCGTTTAGATTTTGTCTTTTTTTTAGCAACAAGAGTCGACAAAACGTCACGAACAAATTTTAGAACTTGTGAAAGAGAAGGTGAGACCTTTCTTGATTTTTTCATTTGGGAGAGCAAAGCGAAATCACGGCTGCTGACATTTAAAGAGGTAAAAAACTCTGTATTACCTGCATACTTACTATGTTTACCTTCAGGCTGCTGGCGCTTCACGTCACTCTACTCAAGATGATCTTCCCGCTGTCACTCCGTATGAGAGAAAGAAGATTTGCACTTTGTGTAATGTTCAGGTAATTTGTACATTGGTTTAGTGGGTGATGTGTTATGTTCATTGAACTATAATACATTACACTCAAACACGCGAGATTACACCCAGACACTCATGTTTAGTGTTTCGAGATTATCTCGCTGAGTTACAGTTGAATGAACTACACACGCGTGTCTGGGTGTAAGATTTGGCTTCAAAAAATTATTAAGCTTTTCTATTACAGCTAGCGTTCCATGTATTTTAGTTCAATGGTTATGTTAGATAGCTCACGTGTACACTAGGGATACACTTATTGTTTGGGGATAGCGCTGTATGTCACAGGACATTATTGTGTGAAGCTATCATTGTTATTTTTACTCATAGATAATATCCGAGGTTTACTTGGTGAGCCATCTACGAGGAAACAAACATAAAATGGCCTTAGATGAAGTAGAAAGGGGAAAGAAAATCGAGGATTACGTAAGAAATATGACTTAGGATTGTCAACGTTGATGGTTTTTTCACTTTTGTTTTTTCTTAAACTTTCTAAAGGACGCTCTATCGCTGCAGTACATTAAAGATGTCAGTGTGGATAAAGTTGACGAGAATGCCAAAGCGAGCGATGAGAGAAAGACGGCGTTCAAAAAACGGGTGAAAAAGATCAGACATCGCATGGCCTCACGGTAATTTCTTTGAATGGACCACTAAAATCATCGAGATTTCTAATCGCTTGTAAAAATAATTCCAGTGGCAGGGAGTATGAAGCGACATTGACCAGCGTAGAAAAGCGATCAGAATCTTCTAAAAAATCGAAGTAAGGAACTTTCATAATCGTGGAACATACTACTTGTCTGTTTGCTTCTACCAAACCAAGTTGTTTCAATGAATTTTCTCAGAATTTTTGCTTTTTTTCTCTTCCTCATAAAGACTTCAGAAAGTCATCAAAGATCTTGACAGATATTTCAAGAATCAAAGCACGGGACCATGGGCTGCCAATCGAGTTGCAGCTTTGGAACGTTCCTTGAGTGAACTGAGTCGACTGATGGAAGGCAATGTATGATGTAGGGCAGGGGTGGGCAACTTCTTCAGTCGGCGGGCCAGATTTAGGAAAATGAAGTTAATTGTGGGCCGGATTATTACATGAATAATACTCAATATTCAATGGTCGGATACAGTCGGCGGGCCACTCAAAATCCCTTCAGGGGCCGGACCCGGCCCGCGGGCCGTATGTTGCCCACCACTGATGTAGGAGCAAATCAATGACCCAGAACTCAATCTACTTGATTTCCGACTCGGCTAAAATTCTATATTTGCGAGTGAGACAAGTTGACATCTTGAAAGGTGGCAAAACTGACGATGTCTACGACTAATGTCTGCTTTCGCTGAGTTGATATAGAGTTACAACGTTGATAGTCTAGGTTTTTTTAAAATGTTTGATTGTATTGTCTTTTAAACTTTCCTTAAACTTATTTTTTGTATCGAGTTTTGCTTTTTTCCACCTTTCAAGATGGCGTCCTTGTCTCATCTTGACACGGTAGTTAGACATCTAGAGGACTGGGTTCTAAATTATCGGGCGAAATATAATCGTTTTTCATTGCCATTTTGGTATTTTTCCCTATTGATTTACCTAAAATGGAGCGGTAACTTTGTATTGATAGTATATGTGACATAGATATCCTTTCTAACGTATCTTTAGGTTGAAGCAGATCAAGTAACGTTCTGTAACCTTGGTGGTTTGTCCACCTTATCACGGATCCTTCTACAAATCGAATTTTCGTCAGGAACGCAAAAATCTTTTCTACCTATCAAGTATGTTGAGCATTTTCTTCGGCATGATATTCCAATATGTGCAAATTGTTATTAGATTTGATCTAATAAGTTTAGACTCTCCCACCTGCTTCACATACTTGCAGAGTTGTGAACAGGGGGGAGTGTGTAAACTCATCCGACCGAATCTGCTAAAAACCTTGCGTGTATGGTCACACTTTCTCTCTTTAAAAGTCGAAAGAGTTGTTGTGTCTTACAGCCACAGTACCCTTGCAACAAATGTGTGTTCTTTATCCCTAAATGGTGCAAAATATACCAATATGACATCAAAATAATTATCTGTGGTTTTCATTTGTCTCCATATATGGACATATTGTTTCCGCGCACGAGTGGTGATAGCGAATGAAGATGCCTTGAAAATATATCTTTTTCCGTATTTTTTAGAACTTTGTGCTCTGTCGTGTCGGTAATGACAATCGCCTGCGTCAAATGCTTCGAAAATTGTTGGTATGTGTTGCTAAGCAACAAGCTCACAGTCGTTGTCGACCTTTTGGCCCATAATCTCGCGGTAATTATTTTAACTGAATCAGCCAATAGAATATTAGCTTTGTGATGTGATTATAATTGAACCCGTAAGAAAGAGTTGACCTGTCCATTTCAATGAACTCAAATACCCTTATCTTGTTTAACACACTTTCTGGCAACAATAACTCAAATAGAAGTTCACTGAGCCATTTAAAGTCAGTCGTTTCTACAGCTAAAGTACGGAAGATTATAATGCATAAAGTAGCACAATGGAAACGACGACATAGAAAAACGAGAAGATTATAATGCATAAAGTAGCACAATGGAAACGACGACATAGAAAAACGAGAAGATTATAATGCATAAAGTAGCAATGGAAACGACGACATAGAAACAGAAAGATTATAATGCATAAAGTAGCACAATGGAACGACGACGTAAAAACGAGAAGATTATAATGCATAAAGTAGCACAATGGAAACGACGACAGAAAAAAAGAGAAGATTATGCATAAAATGCAATGGAAACGACGACATAGAAAAAGTAATAAAAATGCCAACAACGACGACGAAAAACAAGAAGATTATAATGCATAAATGCTTGTAACGACACAAAAACAGAAGATTATAATGCATAAAGTAGCTAATGGAACGACGACATAGAAAAACAGAAGATTATAATGCATAAAGTAGCACAATGGAAACGACGACATAGAAAAACGAGAAGATTATAATGCATAAAGTAGCACAATGGAAACGACGACGTAGAAAAACGAGAAGATTATAATGCATAAAGTAGCACAATGGAAACGACGACATAGAAAAACGAGAAGATTATAATGCATAAAGTAGCACAATGGAAACGACGACATAGAAAAACGAGAAGATTATAATACTTTTCTTGTTTATTTGTTTTATTGAGCTTGCCGCAAAATTGCTTTATACGTAAGTTGTTGGGTGAAGCTAGAATTGTGGTTTTATTGAGATTTTAGAAGGTCATTCTTGTTTTTTCCTTTAAGTCCGCAATCGGTATTGTTATTATCAATAAAAAAATTTCCTTCAGCAAAATTGCGGCAACGAAAATTTACAGTTTCAAATGGTGAGCTTTATCTCTTGATTTATTTAGGTATTTTCTTGCGTCAATGAAAAGAAAAGTGTTGAAAGTAACTTGGGACGTTCTGCAGACGCGTTCCTTCTCAATCTGCAACACCTTTTATCCACTGCTATCCACAGCTTGATACGCTGTGACGCAAAAGATATAAGTTGTGTTCCGGATGGACTCGATCACTCCGTTGCTATGCAACGAATCACTGATCTCATAAGGTATATGATTACATGTTTGTAAATGTAGATCGTCCAGGTTGGTATAGTCCTGAGAAGGACTGTTTTTGTTGTTGTTGACTGACGTTTCGACAACCTTAGCGGTAGTCATCTTCAGAGTCAAATGATGAAGGTATATGATTGTTATCACCTGCTGGCTAGAAATTCTCGCACGAGAAGGTGAAGTCAAACTTTTTCTTTCTTCGAACAAAACTATTTTTAATTCATCAAAAGTAGATATGTACTAACCCAGGACTTTGCATTAACCCAGGAATTTGTCATGTTTAAAAAACTTCTTATATTTGAGTAAACAGTTGTATTGAAATAATTTTAAAGATTTCATTGCGACTCACAGTATGCCAGGGGAATTATTTTTCGATTTTATTCATAAATTCGCCATTATAGATCATAAACACTTACAATAACTAATCATCAATATAAACAGTGGCTGGAATCACCACACAGAAGCGATCTCCAGAAACGGCATCTCATAAATAAACACACTCGCTGAACTCATACATTTATCAGCGAATTACTAATTTCAAATTCACGTTCATATGACGACATTCATTATTTGAGCCTACGGTATTTTGTTTTCAGCTATATCGTTTGCAGCGGTGTTATCGACAATCTTCAGGCGTATTTTGGTTATATTGGGGGATCAAACGACAACGATTCTTTGATATCGTCAGGATTTGTTTTGGAATCCTTGGACGCGCTCTGCTCTATCGCGAGAGTTTATTCTGTTAGGTAAGTGTACTCTTCGAAAGAACTGTGTTTGCAAGAACTTAAGTTCTATGTGTTGTCAAGAACTTAAGTTCAATGTGTTCAAGAGATTAAGAGAAGGATGTCTTTTTATCTTCAGAGTTAACGATGTGTTCACTCATCAGAAAAGAGAAGACACGAGTCAGTTTTTAGTCACTGTGAAACACACAGGTTTAGCTGGTCAGTGTTGCTGAAAAAACGCTTTCTTTTTTAACGTTATAATTGAGTTGTATGTATTTTCCGTTATGTTCAAATGAGCTGCTTTTGGAGCACTTTCTCAATAATTTAAGACCGGGAGAAGGAATGAGGAGTGAATGGGAGGAAAGGATGGAAGGAAGGAAGAAAGGAGATGAGGGATGAAAAATGGAAGGAGGAATCGAGGAACAGGAAGGAATCGGAAAATCAGGATCAGCGGAAGGATGGAAAGGAGATGATCAATGGAGGAAAATGAAAAGATGGAGGAAAATGAAGATCGAATGAAGGAGGAAGGAAAAGAAATCGAGGGAAATGAAGGAAAAAGGGGAAAATGGAGGAAAATCCTGGGAAGAGGGAGAAATAAAGGGGATTAAAGGCAGCGAGATTTGTCAGGAATAGATCAAATAAACTGTAGAGTGTCATTACGTTTTCCTTATAAAGGTGTCATTAGTCTTTTGTATTCTGTGCTGCTCAGAGATGGCTTAAAAGCACCGTCAAAAATTCCCGAGCAGTTGAGCGAAGAAATGAATTCTATGGCCACAAAAGGCTTGCGATTTTTAAATTTCCTAGCAACGGGTGATTTTCTACTCGTACAAGTAAGGATAACGTTGATCCTCCGGGGTCGTATAGGATGATATTGACGTTTGAGGAGTGCCTAGCGATAGCATTTTAAGACGTTTAAATTGAACATAAAAAATATAGTGGGCTCGTATCTTCCACAAAATTTGTTGAAAGTAGTATAATTGATGTTTATGACATAAGTAATGAAACAGACTTCTTTTAACGAATGTGAATTCTTACTGTCATCATCAAACTGCATGAACACATCCAACTAGACTGATTTTGAAGTAAAAATTTGATGACGTTCGTTCGTACGTCTATAATAATCACAGTCTTTATTTTGCACCGTTTCTGTAAAGTTTTATGACGTTTTTCATGTTTTTTTTTAGGATTCGCTCGGGTGTGAAGGTATTTCTCTTCAGTTTCGACACATCGTTGCTCACATTCTAAGGTAGTCTCCTTTATTATATTATATCATAGGATCGACGATCCTCTCGTTTTGAACAGAGGGCGGTACATTTCTCAAAGTTTGCTTCTGAAATCTAGCTATTCATTTTAGAGTATGCTCCGCCGAAACGAATCACGAACTACTACATGAAGTAATTCTTATCATCGGTTATTTTACCGTTCTTAATCCTGAAAATCAGGTAAAGGATACCTTTGAATGTATTATAATGGCTTTCGTTACTGAGTGAACTTTTCATTTACGAACTTCATTTCTTTTTAAATAAACCATAATATTTTAACACGCGGAACTGCTTAGGTACAAGAAAACAAGTTTGAGAGTTTTTTGAGAGTATACAAAAGCTGTTTAACCCACAAAAACCATGACCAACCGACAATTTAAAAAAATATAGTATAAAGCAAATTCCGAAAAAGCAAGACATCTTGAGATTGCAAAATATGCATCAAAACAAGACGAGAAGTGAACAGTAAATTTTCGACTTTATTTCAAAGTCATTCTCAGACAAAATGAGGATGAATTCACTTCTCGTCTTGTTTTGATGCATATTTTGCAATCTCAAGATGTCTTGCTTTTTCGGAATTTGCTTTATACTATATTTCTTTAACCCACAGTTTGAGTGTTTTCAAATTTGGACGTATCCACTAAGGGCTAGTCTGTTTTTACCCTCATATATTTACACTATTTAACACTTATATCTGTATATCAGAACTGAGTTTCGAACATGTCTTTCGCTATGAGGATGCCCAAGTAAATCCCAGATGCGCCACAACCGTATAACCAGTTGTATAAAATGACCATTACTACATTATTCTGTTGGATTGTTTTATTTTTGTACCTATGACGCAAGTGTATAATTTAAGAGAAACGATCTTTCTTTCGCGACGTTTCGGATCGGGTTTTGCTCGAGCATTAATTGTAATCATGAAATGCAAAGTGAAGTATATATTTTGTTTTTCAACCGTACATCCTGTGTGCATCCCAAGTGCAGGAGTCACCATTTTACTATGGTGAAAGCCTGGAGGGCACATTGTTATACACTTTGTATATATATTTTTTTCATGTACAGGTTTTTGTGCTGTCAGGAAGATCACCGACACTTCTTCAAAAGCTGTGCTCCCTTCCTTTTCAATACTTCAGCAATCCAAGGTACAACGAGCGATGGGAAAAGATGTTACCGTTGACATTTTGGTCAACATGACTCTTAGCAGTATTTTAACTGCACTATGCCAATGATAAAACTTTGTTAAACTTTGAAAAATCAGTTCGCTTTTTCATTTGTCGCCTTTCATAGCCCCCCCCCCCCGACCCAACTAGGAGTGGAATTAATATGCAAAATACTCTCGTTCAATTTAGATTGCGCAATATCCTTTTTCCTACACTTATTTGTGCCTGTTATGAAAACGAACAGAACAAAGAGATCTTAGAACAAGAAGTCAGTTGTGCGTTATTAAGTAATTATTTGGAGGTACGTTGTGTCTGTGGCAAGTTACCCTCGTATAAAATACCATCTCGAAAACTTGTGCTGTTATTTCATCAGGATCAAAGTTTGGATTTTCAGCAAGATAAGATGGATGAAAAGCCTCGGTCGATTATGGGTATCGTACTGAATTTCGATTTTTTGTTCGTATGACGTAGAGAAGATGAGAAAAGATTTACCATTTTAAGACTTGAAAATCACATGAAAACATTGTGAACTATGGGGTCAATATCGCCGTCGTGTCTTGTTTGGATACGTAGGGATTGAATTGCAACCTCATTTAAAATAAATGAAATGTTTCTCGATGTTTCAACCCCAGGCCCTTCGCCATAAAGCTGTAGTATGGGATTGAATTGCAACATCATTTAAAATAAATGAAATGTTTCTCGATGTTTTAAGCCCAGGCCCTTCGCCACAAAGCTGTAGTACTGACGAAGTCCTTCACCCCAAAGCCAGAACAGACTTGCGACCAACTCGAAACATCAAGAAACCATTCAATGTACATTTATGCGTTTTATAGATGAAATGTCCCGGAGGATAATGTTATCTCAACGTTTTCCAGTCTCACGTTGGAAACATGCGCAAGAATTCTTACAAAATGACAAGAGATGACAATGTGTTCATATCACCTCAGATGAATGAAAACACTTTCATATGCTTGATTCAGATGAGGAAGAATGGACGTCTTATGAAAATCCTGTTTAAATGGCAGAATCATTTTCAGTTGTGCTGATGCTTTGGTTCATACCCCTGTTCACCCCACCCCCCGTACACCGTTGTACACGTCCCCCCACCCCCGTATACCGTGGCACACCAAAGATGTTTAAAAAAAAATTCACTTATTGAAAGTATATTTTATCAAATGCTTAAATTATTAAACTCGATCGATATTTAATGTAAGATTTCAATTTTACAACACCCTAAATAAATAATAAATTATATGTACATCGCTTGTTGTAATTTTATTCTGATAACGTTTTCATACAATACAGATCGCGGATACAATGTTTAATATATTTTTTCACCAAATTTACACAATTTCAATCACGTGGTAACGAAATATGACATTGCTTACGAACGAAAAAATCTTAATTAAAATACTCAAAATGTATTAAGTGTTACTCTTGTTGAAATCAAAAGTCCAAAAATATTTCCCATTGAAACTAAACTCTTGTGGAAAAATAAATGTGCTTGTATGTGAAATGGTGAGGATTTACTAACATTTAGTGAACAGTGCATAAAAACCGTGGGAAAGATTGTGCGCGAAAGAGCTGGAACTAGTCACACTATTGACGTCAAACTTTTGGCAACAAGTAACTCTTCAATGAAGTGAAGTAAATTTTGCTAAAAACCGTAGGAAAGATTGTGCGCGAAAGAGCTGGAACTAGTCACACTATTAACGTCAAACATTTGGCAACAAGTAACTCTTCAATGAAGTGAAGTAAATTTTGCATCATTGTAGACATTATGGGCGAAATCTTAAGACACAAAGTACCACACTATTGTGATGAGTGCAGCTCGATCTATAAGGAAAACGCACACGAGAGTTGTTCATGGCATGCGAGCTGATCACTGGAAAACTTGTAAACCCGAAGACTTTCATGTCGGGAAATTCACGGCGAAAATCAAGTGAACTTTCCGTGTGGATCAACTTTTTTGGTAAATCATTACACATCATGACAAAATAGATGCTCGGAGAAAATTTGATGTTGCTAGGCAATTTCATTCCTTGTAGCGATGAGAAAAAAGTCCAAGAGTCGTAATCTTCCTCCGTCCATTTCATGTTGAAATACTCTAATTCGCGAGTGTAAACGCTAACATTCCCACCAAATGCCAAAGCACAATTTGCATACCGTTTCATACAATTGTCCTCTATAGCAAATACCGTATCTAGAACTCCACCACAAACGACAATGTTCTTGTTCAAAAGCTAAAATAAAAAAATATCGTTGAAGGAAGGCATACACAGACTAGAAGCACATGTCATTGAATAATATCGAAATCTGTAACAAAATTCATCATAATTTCCGAGTTTCAAGAATGAAGTTTTTTTAGAACAATTTAGAAACAAGAAATGGCACATAAGTATGTTTCTCACAAATTATATATTTATGAAACATTACACATATCACTTTCATACTTTCTAAATAAATGGTTGAACATAACTCGGCAGATTTCTGCACTTTTGCTTGTTCAAAGCCTTTACAGCAATTAGACTATCTAGATCGAAATGATTATTCCTAAGAGATCACTCATTGAATAGCATTCACAAAAACAACCAAGTTTCTAGAGTGGCCATTTTTAATGACATTGTAATAGGAAGTGTGCTTGACTGACCTTTTTAAATTTATTAAAACACTCTCTTTCACTGTGACTTGACAACAAAAATACGAACTTTTTGTCTTGACAAAGTTTTTGATACAAATGTGGTGTCTTGCTCAAATGTTCCAAGTTTATTGAAATGCTACTGATGGTAACCTTCTTTATTTTAGGGACTACGAGTAGAGTAAACAGTGCTCTATCCTCACTGTCTATCTCTTCTGGTAGCCCAAAACTGCTTTCTCCAACGCGAGTGTCGAAATCAGCAAAAAGCACGCCTACAATAACCGCACATTTTCTCGGCAAGGCTGAAGCAACTTTCAAACACTCTTCTTCCAGTTTCTCATGTGCCAACTCTTCTAGCTTAGGCAGGCACACGAAAATCACCCCAGCAGGGACTACTGGAAGTTCTTTCAAAAAATGACACATCTGTCTTCTGATGTCTTCTAACGTTTCCTAACAAATAAAGACTTACGATGATTACTATGCGTCTATCAGACATACACAAATCACTAAGATCGATGCTGGTACAGCGCGGATTCTTATAACATTTCAGCCTAAAGTAAACAAGCTTAGGAAAGCATCAGTCATCGTTAATTTAACATACATTTAGTTCAAACTCCTGAGTGCTTTGAAACGTTCGACTGATAAACGACGTTCTCCGAGTCAATTCTCTTTCAGCCAAGTCCCTCCATAAACGACAAACAATGCTTGCATTAACTAAGCCTTTTGCGGTTAACAATTCAAATATATTTGCCACTATTTCTGCTGGCAAATAAGAAGTAGATGGGCGATCAATTATACCCGTGCTTGATGGTAATTCTGATAGTAAATGTTGAACATCATGTTCGTTACAAACGGCCATGTTGGATTTGGGCGTAAGATAAGCAGACAAAGCAATGCTCTAATTGTAAGAGTTTGGGACATGTGCTGTTCTCTGGTTTGGAAACGTTGATTGGGCAATATCTGTCACATGATCAATTAGTTTTGTTTAATTATAGTTTAATGTATAGTTTTCATAATTTCGTAAGAGCACAATGGTTATGAGACATTTAAAATAAACGACAAATTTTCTTAAAGCAAACATGTTTCGGCATACTTTATGCCATCTTCAGTGCGAAGTGAATAAATACACGAAGTTTACATGATAATAAGTTATAGTGATAAAGCGGAAATATCGACTAGTTATGAATAACTATTTACAGTTTAATGAGGTGTTATAAAATGTTTGTGTTAGGTCTCATCACAAAAAAAAAAAATTACAAAGAAAATGAAAAATATATGAATAGCTATTTACAGGTCAAAGATAGTGTTAAGATGTTGTATTTGTTTGTTGAGGTTGGGTTTACGCTTCTTGATATAAAGGCTTCTTCGAGTTTAAGGGCGAAAGGAGTGTGAGCGGTGTCTAAGATACGGAAACAGAATTGTGTGTAATTGCTTTTGCAATGTGGTGACGAGAGTATCTGAATATGTATGAGTTTTTGTCCGTGGTTGTGCGTTCTTTAATCCGTGTGGAAAGGTGGCGAGTGGTCTCCCCAATGTATCTGGAATTACATCCAGCACAAGAAAATTCATAAACCACGTTGGATTTTAAAAGAGTGGGAATGGGATCTTTGAAGCTAAAGTGATTTTTGATTTTAAAAGATGAAAAAACTAGTTTTATGTCTGTGCAGTAGCGTTTTATTAAGTTTTGTAATTTCCGTTCCGTGATTTGTGAAATGTAGCCTATGTAGGGTAGTTTGAAGAAGTAAGACTCAAGTTGGGTAGATGACATATTTTGTATTTTTAACAACGAGGATGACGCTCTCTCTTTTTTTAATTATTTCAATTTGCAACAAAAGAACATTGACTTTACCATAGAAAAAGAACATGACAACAAGTTACCTTTTTTAGACATACCTTACTTGTATTAAAATTCGCGCAGTACTAAAATTCGGGCAGTGCTGAGTGCGCGAATTTTAGTACTGCGCGAAATATAATCCGCGCGAAAAGCTTTGTAGTGTAATATGAGACATTCATTGTTGGTTATGCAAATCAGTTGTTTTATTAACGCATATACATATTGACATATGTTTTTAGTTGTCCTGGTAACATTAAAAATCAAAAATGTCTTCATTTTCATCCTGTACAATTTCAGTCGGGATATTCTCAGGTTCTACGTAGTATTCCGTCACGAATGCCTGCATTTTGCTGTATATCCTAAAACTTGCATTGTTCTGCATGACTGTTAGGGTAATAGGAATCTCCAAGCATCCTTGTGGTAATGGGGATCGACGAAATTTGATGTCACATACACATGCTTCTATATTGCCCCCATATTCAAAAAAGAACTTGCAAAATCGGAAAATCTCTCGAGGCAAATGTCCGACCAGTGACAATGGTTCAATCTTGCCTCTGATTTTGGTAAACAGACCAATAGCATATGGGTCGAAGAGGTTTCCTGATTCTGGTTTTATTATTAACTGCTGGTTGATTCTTGGAGCCCAGATTTTTCTGTATTCATGAAAACCTCGTGATGCGCAAGCTAGAGAAAACGATGTCCACTCGGGGGTCAGTTTCACTGAATTAGAATCATCCGTTCCTGAATCGTGGTTTTCCTGAAGCAAGCAATCAGATGCGTAATTTTCTTTCGCGTCGCACGCTTCACATAAAGCAACACTCGAACCACTTTTCCATCCAGGATAGTTTTCAGATGCAGGGATTGAACACTCGATTCCTCGGTTACAAACAAATGATTTGCATTTTAGACAAGTGTATTTTGTCAAATCATTGCACACGATGCAAATGCTTTCCATTTCTCCAACACAATAGTCAATGATGAGTCACGTTTCTTTAGGTGTTAGATATGATGTTCTATTATTATTTTACTGACTGATTTTACTTCCTTATTAACTAATTGCCGAATACGTCAAACGTTTCCGCAACACATATTCTACCGTTCAAGTATTGCCAACAGAAAACATTGTGCGGGAAATCAACGCACATGGCTCTGTTAAAATATTTCAAAAAGGTTTCCCAAGACGATATTTCGGTCGCATCGTCTGACAGCAAATTAAATGCTGCCGAAGAAAATGCAGTAAAACAGCAATTATTTCTTGACGCTCCAGAACCAAAGAAAAGGAGGGGCAAACATGGAGCATATGATGCTTTTCAACGAGCAGAAATTGCAAAATGAGGAATTGTGCATGGAATAAGACCGGCGGCAAGAAAGTATTCCGTACCAGAGTCAACTGTTCGTGGACTTGTCAAATCGTACAATAAGGAACGAAAAGAGCGCACTGAACTCGAACAATTGCCAAGAAAACATCGTGGAGCAAAAACTTTGTTACCCGAGAACATCGATGAGAAAGTTATCGCAATGATCAAGAGCATGAGAACGGCCGGTTGTGTTGTCAATTACAACATTGTTATTTCCATAGCGAAGGGGATAGTACTGGCTAATGATCGGTCTTTGTTGAAAGAAAACGGAGGAACCCTAGATTTCCGCTATACATGGTGCCAGTCAATTTTCAGAAGATTGGGTTTCAGTAAACGTAGAGCAACAACTGCAAAACAACCCGTATCACCTGGCTTCTTAAAAGAAATTCGCTTCACGTTTCATCGTTCTATTAAGGAAGTGGTTACCG